ATTTAATTATTAACGAAAAGTATCAAATCCGGAATCCCTACAAATATTATTGTCTACAGAATTACAATAAAATAACAATTAATAATCATTGTTTCTCGTTGAATTTGATATTTAAATGACTATTTTTAAGATATTTAGGTTTTTGCAAAAACTGAAACTTCTTTAAAATGGTCAAGACTATTGGGCATTGGTTATAAATATTAAACATTTCATAAACCCTTAATTTAAAAACAATTTGTACATTTTCTTGAATTTGTCGATTTTAGTCAAAATTTGAAGTAAAAATGCTTTTCAAAATAATTATGACTATGTATATTTGGTTTTTTTTAAAACTGCTGCAATAAAAACTATCAGGGTTCTTTTATTCGTTTTCAAGCTTTTTGGCCGAGCTCAAAATGTTTTTATTAATATTTATAGAAAAAAAATAGCACATTTCAGATGGATATATAACTATGTGAGTACCTATAGTTAAAATTTAATATAAATATTTCGAAAATAATAATTTAAGTAACAGTGAAATATTTTAAGTTTCTGTAAATTTATTTTGAATTGCCAAACAATGTAGGTACTTATCAATATCCAATTGTTTGATATGAAAGCTTATTGTTTTATGTGTAAATATTCTATTTTTTCAACATTTTAACTTCAGGTACTCATAAAAAATAATTGTTCAATCACGCTCAACTTTGTTTTATAATTTTTGTAAGGATAATTTATGAAGATCCTTGTATAATATTGGCATGCTTTAAATATGAATATAAAATATGTTATGAATTTATAACTAAAAAAAAGTTTTAGAATTTTAACTTTGAATGCTTATAAAAAAAATAGCGCCTATATTTTCGATATTTTTATTTTCTGAAAGAACCACTTACAAGAAACTTTGTTTTAATTTTTAAATTTTTTTTTATTTATGAACAACAATGTATCGAATATAAAAGAACTAAGAAAAATAAACATTTTAAAATATATATATATAGGCAATAGCATAGAATTGAAAATTGTATGATCTAGTATACATATATGCTTACAAGTTAAAAAATATTTGGCGAAAACTTTCTACACAATCTACGTCAATACTAAATCAGTACCTAATTAGTAATTAGTTATTTTTGAATTACAACCAAAAACTTTTAGCGTAAAAGTTACCGTTTTTACCGTTTATTTTGAAAAGTATTGATAATTTTCAATTTGGACCTCCCAAAAGTAGATACTTACTAAATTCAGTTTTCTATCCAAAACTATCTTCTATGTTGAAGATCAAAGCATATTTCTGTTCTTCTATAAAAAAGTATAGATACATGTACGGGGAGTACAAAAAAATAAAAATATAGACATTAGACCTATGCATTAGGATTAGGTACAATCATTAACAAATCAATACTCTCATCGGTCAGCTCAGAATCTATAATAGAAAAAATTCGCTAATGCACTGCAGTTTAGATATAGGTAGGTTATTGGTGCATACTATATATACGGCCATATAATCTGTGAACGAGTTTCTGCAGTACGTTGAGAACTATTATTAAACGATAGGCATCTACGTGACTAGGTACTTTTATATTTATTATTTATACATATTATAATATATGATACATTATAATATATTACATAAGTTTCTGCACTCGAGTACCTTAGGCTATACAAATGCCACTTATACTTGTATATATACCCCGTTTATACCGCATTACCAAACGATCTACACTGCTGGAGTATATAAAACACCGGGCGATCCATTTAACGTAAAAAGCTCATTACTATTTCAAAATCTATTAATGATTTTGAAAATATTTCTAAGATGTTAACTTTATTTAATGACGCAACATACAATGCAGTAATTATTCCGAAGCAGAATATTTTTTAGAGTACTTCTATATATAAAAATGTTGGACGAGTATAGTAATTATGAGTTATAAGTATTTAAAGTATTGATGAGCGTATAGTGGAGTGGTGCAGGGATACCCCGATACACGTTAGTCCACTAATCTGCATGAATAAACTTTAAATACTTGTAAGTTATAATTTATATATAATGAACAACCTACTTATCCGAAATTCAATTTTAAAAAAACGATAAATACTATAAATAATATTCTGCTTCGGAATATGATATATTAAAAGTGCATGTTGTCATTCAAAAGAGTAAAAAAACTTAAAAAATTATAACGATAAAAAATAGAAAAACACACAATTTTTCCAAATATGTTGTTTTATACGACTTTCTGGATCACCGGCTATATACAATTTATATTATATGCAATAAAAGTACTACAGTATATAACCTACTCGCACAAATCGACAAAATAAGACTTCGGATAGCACAAAATGTCAAAACGTGTAAATATTATATATTATACCCACATTTATAGATGATTATTAAATTTCAAATATTACGATTTAGCCATTTTGGATTTCGTATTCCTACCGCATCACATTATAATTTGACGTCCGTCCGCGGCCGAGAGTGGTTTTCGATTATGCCTAATACATATAATATAAATTTTTTTTATGGCTCCACGCCTCCGCCTAAGACGTTAAAATAGTATAAAACTATAAATATGATAGGTATAATACAACGTTACATAATATGTACAGGGTTATCGTCGTTATCGACCATGCTTACCTCATTTTTCTTCAATAATGTGATTATTCAAAATCTGATATTTGGAATTTTTAATCCTATACCTACCTACTTTAAATGTTAAGATCATATTTTCAAATACTTGAAATTTTTGTTATACTACCCATATATGGAGGTGTTCTATGTGGTGACTCAAACTTCTGTTTCTCAAATGAGAACCCCCTTTTCCACTGAAATTATTTTTCTGAACATTTTGGTGAATCAAAATCAAAATTTAAATGAGTAGTTTTTGAGATATTTAACTATGTGTAGTAGGTAAGAATAATATATCCATGACATGGGGACTAAGCGGTGAATGATGATTATGTAAATTTTAATAATTAATATTAATCAACATTTTAAATTTGTAATAACGGTACAAGTAAATTGTAAAATAAATACTAGATCTAATATTACATCTATTTTATATTTTTTTAAAACATTTTTAAGTATTATTATCCTTCTTATCGACATTTTATTAATTAAGAAACTAATCATTTGAATTTTGAATAAGGTACATCAAAATTAAAAAAAAATTATACTTACCTACTCTAAATAATGTATAGGTATAGTATTATAGTAATTAATAGTGTGGTTCTCATTTTAAAAACAGAAGTTTATATCACCCCAGGACACGCTCCTTATGTATTATAAAGAATTTCAAGGAATTTTTAAAATATGGCCTTGTATAAATTTGAAAATTCCAAAAACGGATATGAGCACACTTAATGAATCCACTCTGTATAATATAAATAACGTTAATATTTTAACTTTTTAATTTTTTCAGCGATTAATGAATAATGGTGATTGAGTCACAGATTATTTAAGTTTCAACTCTCCTGCAGTCTCCACCAGGGGCGTCATTTGGGGGGTGGGCAGGGTGTGCGACGGCACCACTGACATGATAGAATAAATAATTGGCCCTCCATCAATGCTCCTATGCGCCGATATGATTACTATTAAAAATTAATAAAATATTCTTGGCCCAGTGGCGCTGAAGTCCAAAATTTTAACTGTAGCATTAGACACCTCCACATAAAATTTTGACACCCACCTATTTATTATAATTACCTTACCATACGCAAAGTAAATATATATTTTGGCGCCATTGATTTATGCATGTAATTTAAATTTTTTTTTATCAGCTTTATTATCAAATGTATCCCTATTTGATAACCGTTTGAAGCGAGTCTTATTCTGTGGTTTTATTATGTAAGACAGTTCGTGCCAGCCTGTTGGTATCAACTATAGTGGAGTAAGCATAGCATAGCTGATAAAATAAATACTAAATACTTTAAACGGCATGGTTATTGTTTAGATATTAATGTTAAAGTTGGCCTGGTTAAATGTTAAAATTGGCCTGCCCAAAATCATGCACACCCGGAAAAAAAACTGAAATGACGCCCCTGGTCTCCACTGGTTCGAAAAAATAAACTTTTGAGTTAGATAAGCTAACATTAAATAATACATTATAAGCAGTTCATATTTTTATACGATTGAGAAGTTTCCCTCCCACGCCAAGACCAATTTATTTGATAATTAGGTAATCATTTCCCAGTCCGATATAAAAAATAAAAAAGTACAGAGGACGCTTAAGGTTACGCGTTGCATCAGCACCATTCACTCAAAATTATTGATTTTTTTTACCACGTGATAAGCATGAATTTGCATGAATTTGCAATACCTATTACCATATATTTTTATAAGATTGCCGTTTTACTAATCCACCACAACAATATTATTCAGATGCATCATATCCAATAAATGTATTGTTAATAGTAATAACAATTTTATTTGTCGTTGGATACAATAAACCTCGTTTCGAGCGTCGGCGCTCCTATTCAACTTAAATTAGGTTTATAATGTAAACCCAGTTTTTATAAAACCATCTCCGAGAGGGCAAACTAATTGACACACTTGATACACCTATGATGTTCCTTAGGTATGTGGACTGTATAAATGTTGGGTATCGGTTTTGAAATGGTAGGAAGGTAATCAAGAATTGGGCATAAACACGTAAATAAATAATTCAATTTTTCTTGTATGAAGGGTTGACTACTATTTAAAAAGAACTTGACAACACAACAATAACAAGAATAACAACAGGTGAACACTAATTACTAATAATTTGCACAGAACAAATAAACACGACAGTTTCCGGTACGGTATAGAACAATGTTGCGGTCGGTATACGCGGTGGGTACTAAACGTTAATGAGATTCGTCGCTGGTCTCCTATGTGCGCGGACCGGTTACAATAATTACGATAATAAAAATAATAATATGATAATATAAATATGATAATTAATTAAGGATACAATACAATTTTTATGACGATATGAGAATTATGAACATACCGCCCACCTTGAAGAGACGCGTCTTCAATCATGAAGTGGCATCGGACATAACTTGACTGCGGGCCGGGTTAGCACTTTACCGGTGGCGGTTTGTATTTTGGCTACCCTGACAACTCCATCCATCCCCGGGTGGACTTCAATCACTCTTGCTGTTCTCCAGGTGAGAGGTGGAGTGGGCTCCTTGACGATAACTAGGTCCCCGATCTGAAGGTTGGGGGTGACTCGAGTCCATTTTGGTCGTTCTTGCAAAGTGTGGAGGTACTCCTTTTGCCAACGGCTCCAAAAATGATGTTGGATTTGCTGAACTAGTGACCATCGTTTACGTAGACTTATCATTATGGATTGGTCCGGTTCTTTGGGTGCTGGGATAGCGACAAGAGGTTCCATGGTTAAGAAATGTCCAGCTGTCAGCGTTCTGAAATCGCTGGGGTCTGAAGACATTGCACTTAGGGGTCTAGAATTAAGCGTGGCTTCTACGTGGTGGAGGACTGTGTTCAGTTCCTCGTAGGTTAACACTCGATCCATTATAATTCGGTGGAGCAGGGTTTTTACTGACTTCACTGCAGCTTCCCAGAGGCCACCCATGTGAGGAGCTGCAGGGGGATTGAAGTGCCATTTTATCTGGTTTTCCACGACGTGTTGGGCATAGTTAGGCTGACGAATAATAGCATCGATTTCTTTTAAATACCTGTGCGTACCCACAAAGTTGGTTCCACAGTCGCTGTATATGTCAGAACATCGACCCCTTCGACTAATGAAACGATCTAATGTTGCTATAAAAAGGGGGGTAGACAGGTCGGATACAAGCTCTATATGGATGGCGGTGGTGACCATGCAAACGAAGACACAAATATAAGCTTTTGTTACCTTAACTTTTCGCAGCATGGCAGCCTTGACGTCAAACGGTCCAGCAAAATCAACTCCAACTTTTGAGAAAGGTTTGATTTGTGCTAAACGGTATGGTGGTAGATTTCCCATGACCGGCTGCGACATGCGTGGTTTCACTCGAAAACATGGAATGCATTTATGTGTCCTTTTTTTGATAATACTACGAGCTGACAATATCCAATAATCTTGACACAAGATGTTCTGAAGTGTTTGAGGTCCGGGATGACTTTGGGTTCTATGAACATAATCAATTAGTAACGCAGTAAGACGTGAACACTTGGGCAGTAAGAGGGGATATTTTTCATTGTATGGCATCTTCGCATTAGCTAGACGACCGCCCACCCTGAGAAGACCATGCTTGTCCAGGAACGGAGCAAGTTTACGTAATTTCATTGAGCACGGTCTGTCCTGTTCAAGTTGCTTGATGTCATCGGCGAAAAACACATGTTGTGTCCATCTCACGAGGGCTTGCAAGGCGAAGTCTGTTTCTTCAGATGTTGGAAGTGCAGTGGTTAATGCAAATGTTTTATCCCTTAGTCGATTTCGAAAACGTAACAAATAAACGGTTAATCTTAAAATTTTTGGTAAGTTATCAGAATGGTGCAACAGTGCGACTTCTTCTTCCTTTATTACAGCAGTCAGTGTAACAGGTTTCTCTTCTATTTCTTCTTCGAGGGAATCCGTTGGTGACATTTGAATTTTTTGAGGCCAATCGCTAGGGCCATGGCGGAGAAATTCTGGTCCATTCCACCAAAGTTCATGCGTCGCTAAGTCTTTAGGTCCTAAGCCCCGAGAAGCGCAGTCGGCAGGGTTCTCTGCCGTAGGAACGTGGCGCCAAGTGTCAATACAGGTAACTTGTTGAATCTTTGCCACACGATTTGCAACAAAGGTCTTCAGTTTTGCTGTGGGAGTTTTTATCCATGCTAAGGTGACGGTTGAATCTGACCATGCTATAACCTGCCCTATATCCAGATTAACGAGGTTTGGTTTTATAAATTCAAGTAAACGAGCTAGAAGCAATGCGCCGCACAACTCTGATCTCGGAATAGACATTTTTGACGCTGGAACTATTTTTGATTTTCCCATGAGTAGTTTGCAAGTCACCTCATTTCCGGAGTCTACACGTAAGTATACGACTGCTGCATAGGCGGCCTCGGAACTATCGCTGAATCCATGTAACTCGTACACGGAGTTTGGTTGGGTAACTTGACGTGGGATTCGCAGGGTTGCGAGGACTGGTAGTTGTTCATGGTATTTTCTCCACGCAACAATTGCTTCTTCTGGTATTTCCTGGTCCCATCCAACTTCTGCTAGCCACAGGTATTTCATAAGTCGTTTTAAATCTGTGGTTACTGGTGCTAGTAGCCCAAGGGGGTCGTAAATTCTTGCAATTTCAGACAATATAGCGCGTTTGCTAAATCGCACAGGGTTAGGTTGATAACTATAACTGAAGGAATCCACACGCGGTTGCCAGTTGAGTCCAAGCACCTTGGTGTAGTCCGAATCGTATTCCTTAAACGCGACTGGATGGGTTTGACGATGATCTTCTGGAATATTTTCTAATAGCTTCTTTGAATTACTGGACCATTTTCGCAACTCAAATTGTCCTTTTGCGAATATGCTGACTAGATTTTGTTGCATCTTTATGGCCTCCTCTTCGTTTTCAGCACCAGTGGCTATATCATCTACATACATGTCCCGTTTTACGATAGTCTGTATTTTTGGATTATTTGTTGCTTCGTCTTGGACTAATTGATGAAGGGTTCGTATAGCGAGAAAAGGTGATGATCTCAACCCAAACGTAACGGTATTCATTTCATATACCTGGATGTCTTCATTGGATGAGAATCGGTATAGCAATCGTTGATAAGATCGATGGGTTTCGGTGACATTTATTTGCCGAAACATCTGTTTTATGTCTGCAGTGAATACAATAGGGTGAAGACGGAATCGTAAAACTATACCTGGCAAGTCCTGTTGAAGTTTTTGTCCACAATGGAGATGATCATTCAATGACATCCCAGAGGTTGTCTTCATTGAGGCATCAAAAACAATGCGCATTCTTGTGGTAGTGCTCCCAGGTCGTTCGACTGCTTGGTGTGGAATATAGTAAGAATTACGTTCACTTTTTTGCTCATGTTCTACTTCTGACATATGTCCAGTATCTAAGTAATCTCGCATTCCCTTATTGTACTCTTTTCGTAACTCAGGTGATTTTTGAAATCTATTTTCCAATTGTCTTAGTCGACATAACGCTTGATCCTTGGAGCTACCCAAAAGAGGTAATTTTTGCTTGAACGGTAAGTTTACAATATATCTACCATCCGGTTGACGATTGGTAGTTTCCTTGTATATTTCCTCGCATTCAATGTCCTCTGGCGTATTTTTTACCACGGTTGGTACATTCTCTACTTCTAGGAATTGTTTAAAAGTCCGGTCAATGGACTCCAAAGTTGAACACATGGTAACAGGTATAGAAGCGACTGGACTGGAAATTCTACCCATAAGTACCCACCCAAACACAGTAGAGAATGCTATCGGCTGATTAACATCTCCTTGTTTTTTTTCTCCCGATACGACATATGGAAACATATCTGCTCCGATCAACAGGTCGATCGGTAACGGTTCGTTATATTGTGGGTCTGCCAAGTTCAATCCTTCCAAGTGAGGCCACGATTCGACTTGGATACGGTTTGAGGGAAGGGATCCGGTGATTCGGGTTAGTATCAAGACATCTAACGTGAAACGCGGTTCATCGCAACTAACAGGACATACAACTACATTCGTTTTCCCTCTTACTGCTGGTACCTGTGTACCTGCTAGTGCTTGTATCATAACCTCACTCTTCATTCGGTTCAGACCTAATCGCTTTACACAGCCTTCCGTGATAAAGCTGCTTTGACTAGCACTATCTAAGAGTGCCCTTACTGTAATATAATGGCCGTTTTCGTTCTGTATTCTCACTGAAGCGGTGGATAATAATATTGAGCTATGAAGACGACGATTTTGTGTGGCGGCCATCGTTACATGAGCTGTGACACTCTGCTCTGGCATGGTACTTGATGATTCTGTAACCCGAAGGTGGAGCATGGTATGGTGTCTTCCTCCACACTCATAACATTTTTTCGTATTTTTACACTGGTTGGCTAGGTGTTCGCTGAAGCACATAAAACATCGATTTAAATCTTTGATTATCTGGTAACGTTCCTGTGGATTTTTCTCTTTGAATTGAGAACAGTGAATGAGAAGATGACCAGGTTGTTCGTTGCATACTTGACATGAGAACGTTTTTTTTTCACCATGGTCATATCGCTGAAACTTATTAGTTACCGTTTTTTGTGCTTGCTGACTACTGAACATAACGGTTGGTTTTGACGATTTATATCCTTTAATATACGGTTTCACAACTTCATTACTGATTTGGCTCACAGTTGCAGATTTGCAATATTTGGTTAAAAAGGTTATAAATTCCTTAACGGTTGGATCTTCGGTAGTATCAACTAGTAACTCCCATTGCGCTCTGAGTGGTTGGTCCAATTTCTTCTGTAGTAAGTGCAGCAGCACAGGATCCCATTGGTCCACTGGATAGGTCAGATTTTCCAGGGCGCCCGTAGACTCTGTAACCACATTCAGTAAGTTCCTAATAGACGTACCGTCACTAAAAGTTGCTTTAGGTGCGTTTGAAAGTTCATCTAAGTGACTTTCTGCGATGATACGACGGTTTGAATATCTCGCTGTCAATTGTGACAAAGCTAACTCATAATTACGGTCGGTTAACATTAGATTCCCTACCAGTTTTGAGGGCTCTCCTTCAAGATAGAATTTTAAATATCCGAACTTAGCGACTGTTTTTATATGTTCATTTTCGTGTATGATAGTATCAAACAGATTACGAAAATTAGTGTACTCTTTTGGATCACCTCTAAATTTCGGAATCGCTAATTTTTCAATCGGTAAAAAGGTGGAAGTAGGTTCCTTACGTCTTGGTTCAATAAAGGTCTGATTTAGTTCTGCATTTGAATTCGCTTCAGGTAAAAATTCATCTGCAATTATTTTACACTTAAAATACACTTCTTCGAACTCCGAGCGTATTTTATCTGTGACGACATCCTCTGCAGTTGAACCAATCTTGCTCAAATGACGAATTATCGTTGTTATTTGTAATTCAAAATCATCTCGCAAGTTCTCGAGAGTAGTGTACATTATTTTAAATTTAGTAACACTGGTTTTCGTAGCTTTTGGATCCGAAAGTTCCAATCCGGCATCATGAATACGCTGTATTCTCTTTTGCAGATCACCTAGACGTAACTTAGCTTCCTCGTATACACCCATTGTATACTTAATAAATTAAATACCTTTTTTAACGACGTATCGGACGGATTTGCGTAAGTACGGTAGTAGAAGGTTTTCTATCACGAACGACAATGTCGTAATAATATACGGTAATAATTATAATTTATAATAATTCACGGTCATTGACGTTATATATATATATATCGGTGTGATAAGCGGAGTAGGTCGCGTTCGGTTAGTGATCTTGTCCGTGGGTATTGACGACGGTGAAATTATCGCGGCGACGCGGCTATCTCAGGAAGGTCCAAAGTCCAATTCACAAATAATGCGTTCTGTAGCCGCTAATACGTAATACTCGTGCAGTTACTTATAACCATTACCATTACGATTCAATCACTTAGAACAAATAACAATAATAAAAATAACATACCATATTATTCATCCTAGGCTCGACGGACCAAATGTTCCTTAGGTATGTGGACTGTATAAATGTTGGGTATCGGTTTTGAAATGGTAGGAAGGTAATCAAGAATTGGGCATAAACACGTAAATAAATAATTCAATTTTTCTTGTATGAAGGGTTGACTACTATTTAAAAAGAACTTGACAACACAACAATAACAAGAATAACAACAGGTGAACACTAATTACTAATAATTTGCACAGAACAAATAAACACGACAGTTTCCGGTACGGTATAGAACAATGTTGCGGTCGGTATACGCGGTGGGTACTAAACGTTAATGAGATTCGTCGCTGGTCTCCTATGTGCGCGGACCGGTTACAATAATTACGATAATAAAAATAATAATATGATAATATAAATATGATAATTAATTAAGGATACAATACAATTTTTATGACGATATGAGAATTATGAACATATGATGTTGGTGTTTTTTTTAATGTATTATATTTACAATACATTATATTATAGTAGGTGCATAGCCAGCATAGGTATCTTAGTCTATAAAAAAAAACTGTACTTATTTTGTGCCCAGGGAGTCTCCATTGTTTTCTTTTTCCCGTTTTTGGCCAATGGAAGGGAGAGGAGAGTATACACGCTATATTTTGTCATTCCACTTTTCCGACTAAACTTTTGAATAAGTTCAAGTTTTTGTTTTCACAAAGTTGTTCCAACTACAACCCCACCCCCACGGTGTCGACATTTTTTTCCATTTTTGGCTCGGGGAAGGGAGTAGAGCTAGCACACACATTGTATTTCAATGTTTCCGGCGAGGAATTTGAATAATTATACGATTTTTTTTCACAGGGTTTTTACAAATACCCCTTCCGTAACGTCGCCCTGTTCTCATTTTTTTTTGCGAGAGGAGGGGATGCCAAGGCCCACATGTAATTAAATAAATGTACTTACCAGTTTTTTGACGAAGCATTTTAATAATTTCATATTTTTATATTTTACCACGAGCGAAGCCGGATTATTCAGCTATAGTTATCTTATAAAAATATAAAATTAAGTTTATATTATATATTGTGTAGTGCTGCACGCAAAGTTAAACGGTTTTGCATATAATATTATGAACTTTTTATAAATTGCATTTACCCTATTATAAGGTATCTACTTGGCTACGTACCTAACCTATAAACCTTGCCTATAGTGTGCATGGTACACTATATTATTAGCTGTGTGCTTGCTATTTCAATTATCACAAATTTGCATGAATATAAATTATCGAGTGGATGAGTACTGTACGTATAGGCATTCAAAAGTGTTGGCCAATTATCAACCTATATAAGTATTATGTACCTATAGGCTATTATATGTTAATAATAATTATTGTAATTAAATAAAATGTCACAACCGGCACCACTACCCGTCATCTCGATGTTGTACGAGTCAACGAATGTAATATTATTTATCAGAATGTTTGAACAATTTCATTACGGATCGATTTATTAAGTACCTACCTAGTCGTGATAATAATATATATATTTATATATTACCTATCTTATTAGTTATTACGACAATTTCTGGGAAAATCATTTTTGTATAGGAAATCCATTGCTTCAAAATCAAACTTGATTAAATCTAAAATTATTAACCGAACCTTCGTATATTATCCAATTAAAATTGAATTGAGTATATATCGCTGGCCGCTGAGCCGTCTATATTATATAGGTATAAATATATTATGAACGCCGAACACACACACAAAGTATTGAATTTAAATTGAATTTCAATCTAAACCGTTTTTAATTATTGTATCAAAACCGTACCTATCATGTTCTATATACCTATGTTTCATTTATAATATACATACATTCCACTTGCACGGGATTACAATATTGTATCGATTTCTAAAACTACGATTCTCTGAACATTATATTATAATTTATAAATGCATCTGGCAATTGGCATCATATATTATAATATGTATTAATGTATTATAGTTATAATAGTTAAATATTAAGCATTATTTATATTATTTATCAATCCATCGTACATGATGATGAAGCTGGCCAACACACTGAGGACCCAATCATTCCTCTTTTGAATTATTATTATTTTATTTTATTTTTATTATAAATACATTGTAATTATATAATTATTATTATTATTTTTCAATGTCATTTTGACTGAGAGGAGCAAAAGAATGTATTGATCTTACAATATGTGTTGTTTTTTTTTCTGTCCGTCAGCAACATTTTGGGTAGTGAAAATGTTCCGATTTTTGCATCTTTTCTGATAGAAAAGTCAATATAGTTGATACTTTTAGGTTAGGTCAAAATTGAAATTTCTAAGTTGTTTGATTAAGCTTCAAAAAAAACCAAAAAAAAAATAAATAAAGAAAAAAGTGATAATTTTTACTCAAACTCATTTTTTGAAACAATCGATTTTATTTTTTTGGTTTAGGTAACTCAAAAATTAATAACAGTAGATCCTTAAAATTTTCACCAAATATATTAATAAATACGCATGCACCTACTCGCAGTCTTAGCTAGGAATTTTGTATGGGAGGGGGACTAAGTCTTACAAAAAATACAAATACAATATGTTTTTTATTTACACTTTTTATTTTTTATTAATCTTGATAAAATTCTAAGGTCAACACAGTCAATGGGGGGGGTATAGCCCCCTTAGCCCCCCAGGCTACGCCACTGCCTAAGCGTCCTGCACATAGTTCGGTGGTGGCCTCGGGGTTGTGATAAATTATTCTCAGATCGCTTCTTTTTTTTTTAATTTGTGTGTGACATAAATATGTGCACACGCCTCTATAGCTAAACTTAATTGCGTTCATCCCGCAAATGAGTAAATTATTATGCATTGTGTAATTGGTATGAAATTCATGTTCTGGGCTATTCCGCTTTGAAAAATCAAACGAATAATTGAAGGAAAAATATATATACATAATAAGGCATACCTTTTATAAGGTATTAGGTAATATATATATCTACGGATAATGTGAATTACCATTTGCCATATTTTATTTACATGCATATTGCTTCTACCAGTAGTTAGTAGTTACAGGTAAACGTCGTGTGCCCGTGTAGAACATTGAATCGATTTATCTCTACATGACTAGCTACGGACAGATACGTCGAATGAACCCGTTTAGCTCAACTAAATAAATGTATCGGGTGATTCATTTAAAGCAAGATAATCATTATTTTGAAAACTTTAAAGTTTAAACGTTTTCAATAGTTTTGCTACTTACATTATTTCAGTTTGTTAATATATAGAGAAGCAAAGCGGGCATTCCCCTCCAACTTCCAAGCACAGCAGATGCCCTGTTTTAGGTAATGGTTAAATATTTTTGGAGTGTGAAATCGAGTTTTGAACGAGTAATAGGTAATTTATGAGTTATAATTCGAAACTATAAATAGTTAAGCAACTTTTCCAAAATTCGATTTTTTTTGAACCGAAATACTCTAAATATTAGGTTATTCAGCTTCGAAATATTAAATTAAAATCGCGTTGTGTTGCCATTCTAAAGGGTATACACAACTTTAAAAATAATAAAGATCCATTTTTCCAAAAAATTTGTTTAGTAAAAACTATGTAAAAGTAATATTTTCAAAAACTTGGTGTTTTCTGAAATATTGAGTGTTTTACGTTAAATAAATCACCCTGTATCATTCAACGTTATTTTTTTTTATTCCCAACATTATTGAAACTCATTAGTGTTTTCTCTGGAGGCCGCAGCACTGTAATTATTATAAATAATTACAGCCACTCAAGTCACTTGATGGCATTCGTATAATTTTGTTGGAAATAAACAATGAAATTATTATATTATTTATTTTACACAGTCGTATCGTTTCAATTTAAAACATTAAAATGCCTACACGATTACATGAATCATATTTTAATTGTAGAACCAACTATTAAAAAGAAATCTAAAAAACGGGCACTCAGAGTATACACTAGGCGTATACAATTGTATAAAATATAAATACAACTGTATATCGGCTCTATTTATAAGGGTGCTAATATGCTATAGACTGCTAGAGGAAAGAGCAAACTATCACAATTTCAGAAATCGATTTTAACCTCTCAATATTAAAGAGCCGAGTGTCTTTGGACAAACTGTAACAAGTAAATTATAATAGAAAATAAATAAACAATAAACATAGTATATAGTATAGTCAGTAAAACAAAGAACGAAGCAGTGGGTATACAATATAATATCGTAATTTCGATCGTTTTTTGATATCACACATTCATGAGTAATACATGTGTTAATACTTAGGTAATTCATATTAATAATTATTATTAGGAATACCGGAATGGTGAACAGGTAGGTACATAAAAAAATATCATAGTTTATAGATTTGAATAATTCTAAGGTAAAAAACAAATAAAATTCACATTATACGCATTGGTAATTTCAAATTTGATGTTGGAATCAGGTGCAAGCCACAGTCAAAATATTATTCTTGGAAATTGGAACAATTATAACCCTTTGAGAATTCTCCCTTATACTAATGCAGTAAACTACCCTAAATACGATCATGTGGTGATTAATAGTACTTATGCAAAAGCCATGAAATATTCTAATGCATAAGTGCTGATTTGAGTTAATTTTATACATACATAGTATAAACTAAACCACTGTGGCCTTAAACCTATACGGCTACACTATTGGATATATATTCTACATACCTATATATAAGTTCTAGCCACACTTAAAACCCTAATTGAATGCAGGAATTTATAGCGAAGGTGCAATCGCGTATCCATGTCTTCGCAGGGAGAAAAAATTGGAGGCGACTAGGCGAGAGCTATTATTATTATGTGTTAGAGATTTTAACAATATTTTATGACACTGAAGACATTTTTTTAATTCTAACGGCAAATATAGATAAGACGTAAGACGTAGCTGGTCAGTAGATACCTGTAAATAAATTCCACAGTAGCCAGTATGTATTTTGATTTAAAAGTTTGACAGTGTTCACGTGGAGTCAACTTGGAATAATAAACCTATATAGGATTAAATTTGAGTTTAACAATTAAAAAATAAAAATATTTATCAGTATTACAGGATATATCGGCGCGTCTCTCTCTCTGACAACATGATAAAATATAATAATATTATACCTTACTTATAAGTAGATAACGAATTTACGTTCAGCAGAACCAATCCTGTGTTAGCTTTAACATTGGAATGAATTGACCTATTATTAAACATTATCTGTGTTTGTATGTTGGCTCTTTAGGATATTTCAATTTTTCTGCAATATAGGTACGATCATTTTTAAATTGTTATATTTAATACTTAACTTGGGTACCTACTTATAACTATGCATATAGTTGCATACAAATTAAAGTATCTTAAAAAAGCCAACACAAAAACATTAATAATATTTTTCACATTAACATTTTGATAATAGTTCAATCTGTAATATTAAAATTTAAACCAAAAAAGTATACCTATAACACGAAATAGATTGGGTAAGTATAGGTATTCTGAACGTAAATAATACACTATGGTGCAAATGGTTCAGACTGTCAGGGTAAGAAAAGAAACAAAGCACGCCGACATCCCCTAAATAATAATTAAGATATGTGAAGAAATTGTACCGATTACTGCAGGCAGTGAACCGAGCCATGAGTGTTATTTTTTCAGTGACCTACCTATCTATTCTGAAAAATGTAGCGGAACGACCAATAGCATTTGTTTCGGTCCCGAGCTGTCGAGCACACAAGTAAAAGAAATACATGTGGCCACCAGAGACCCCACGAATAAAATAAATTGTAAAATTAAAAATTCACTGACATCGATAAGTCTAGGCCGACGGTAATTAGAATGATAGAATATTGTTACGACTATAATAATTATTATGCAGTCTTCGTTGAATATAATCGCCAGTATTTTATAGTTTTATGATAGATTTTCACCGATACCCACGCCAACACATAGGCTCTGACTATGTAGACCACATAGTGAATATTTATTGGGTATTTGGGACTTAGGTAGTTTGGTATTGTGCTTGGGTACCTGCAGTTATTATTATTATTGTAGGCGAACAACAATATATTTTCAATATAATTTACGTTAATGTATTAATACGGTAAATTTCCGTTTGGTGTCGATAAAATAAAATAAATATATAATACGACGGGTGTATACATTATAATTAATTTACTATTTAGTTAGGACGTGTGTACTTGGACATTGCCCCGCTTGTATATTATATTTACCTGCGGTTAGTTATTACAATATCGTATTTTGTATTTTTGTTATTAATCCCAAGGTGACCCCGAACAAGTCGTCGTCGCTGAATATTATACATATAGGTAGTATATACTATATAATATAGTCGAATCGAAAAGCCCTCAACAAGCCTTTGTTTGGAGGGTTTTTTTTATCTTGACAGTAATTATTATGCAGAAGGATTATTTAATTGATATTATAATTTTTTTTATCCGCTTCAAACGGACGTCGGTCACTGATATACCGTTGTGCCAAATCCATACCCTGGATTATGATATTCATAAATTATTATTTTATACACACCACAATATCACATATTTGAATATTTCATTCACCAAACATATTTGTAGCTAAAATTTCAACATATAACGATAATAATATTATATATTTATGTAAAATGCATTTTTATTTTTTTAAACTCGTTACAGACAATTTAAAATATTTCCTAAGGATATCTTTGTGGTTAGCAGAATGCCTATTGCTATATTATAATATTTTTGAGTTTTTATTATTTGCACAATATCCATGTGAAGTTGTTATATGATTTTAAAAAGATGAACAAACAGAATAACCTTTGAAGGTACAATCAAATTAAATTACATTCATTAGGATAGGAATAGTTTGATCATTTAACTAATTAATGCATAGCGATTATGGAAATTTGTTTTAAATAATAAGTCAAAATTAATACAGCTAATACAGCCACACAGGTTGTCAATCATTTTTAATAAATAATAACAGCAAACACATATTGTTTTTGTTAAAAAAAAATTTATTATAAAATATGATTTGTAAAAAATAAAACTTTATAATTGAATACAATGATTACAAATGTTTTAACTTATTGGATGACTGTTGAGATTCAAAAACTCCCCGTAAGCAATTTTAATGTATATAAAACGATAAATAAGTCTATAATTAGAATTATTATTATGTTTTTTATATTCAACTTGATCATATAAAAATATTATTCAAAAACTATTAAGCATGTAATATAATACTGTAGATATGTAAAAAGTCTTAAAATTATAATACCATTGTGTAAACGTTACTTTACAGTCACCCAAAAGTCATACAACAACCTATAATTATACTTAATCACAATATGGACGGAATTGTTAGTATGTATAGTACTATAGTATTAAACTACTCTATTCAAGTTAAGAACCGTAATAGTCTACCGCCATGTAGGTGATATTACACAACAGGCAAACAGATGGCTGACTCGGTGGAGGTAACAAATGGTTTTTAACCATAGCTGTCTTCAACGAGTATTGTACTTAGATGAATAAAGAATATAAAATAAAAATTATACTTAACCTCTATACATTTTTTAAAAAAACACTTATTTTATAATAATTTTGGGCGAATACATTTTTTATTTTTAACATTTAAAAATGTATTTAAATCTATCTATGAACTTAAGTATTCAGAAATTATACATACCTACTATATAATAACCAATAAGTTATAATAAAAAAAAAATAAAGGTTCAATTAATGATAATGTTGTTGAAAATAATTAAAATTTTAAAACTTATTACAGTTTGTTTACTTAAAAATAGTGAACACCTTTAATTCCATATAATTATTTTTTCATCACGCTATACCTATTTAAATAATATTAATACAATTAATTTGTTTAGATAAACTGAATTGCTGAGTGCATTATACATTAATACATATAAAATAATATATTTTATCAAATTTGTTATTGATCAGTTGTCAGTGAATAAAATTTGTTTACTAATAATAGTAATAAAATTACTAACGGAATAAAAAAAGAAATAAAATTGAATCTTTTCAACTAACCTAAAATGATTGACTTAATGTTGTAAAAGTTAATTTTATTGGTTATAAAGTGATTGCACAACATAAAAGACATTTTGTAATAAGATTATGTTTTATAAACTGTCAAAATTAAGTAAAACTAACCCATATTTATCTGAAAGGCTGTAGGGGTTTAAGACTTAAAATTGAATTAAGCGTAAGATACTTGTTCTATGTATTCATCGTTGTAATTATTGTAGTCGTTAGATTCCCTGTGTACTGAACAGAATCGCTCCCCATATCTCACAATAGCAATGATTACAAATAATACAAACATGGCCAACAACAATAACAATGGTGAAAATAAGTGAATCATTGTGTGGTTTAAATGTCACTCTCTTTCTTGTGGAGCTCGACGAATTCTTGGGGCACCCCCGAGTCGTAAACCGGTTTTGGTTTCGAAAAGTTTGTTTCCAACTCTTTTAGATCAAGCGGAGCTTGTTTTGCGGGCGTCTTGATCCAAATCGGTAATATGTAGCGATTACCTATGTGTAAGCAAATAAATGTCGTTTAAAATACAAAAAATACAATATGAACCCAACGACTGAGTATCTATTCACCTGTTTCGCTATTTCTCCAGTAATGTCTGTGCTTGGAAAAGCAACAGAGAAACAAGTTGACAACGAGCAGTGCAAATGCAAATACCGTGCACACACCGAGAGTCACGTAGAAAGTTTGATAGTTGCTCGGCTCGTGGTGATCGTAATAAGGGTTTGTCATAAATTCAGTCTTGTCGTCTAGAACCACTGACATTCTGTGAGGAAAAGGAAACGTTTTCAACCAATCGAAAAACAATTAAGAGCGACAAATGAACGACGAACTCACCTGTTTTAATAATTGTTGACGGTCTGGTTTCCGATTTGAGGCATGTGTGTGTGATCGTTAAACTATTATGTAAAAATGTAAAATGGACAATAGTAAACCTAAGTCAAAACAATAACTCACTGGATAAGTGGACAGATAATAATAATAATAATGACGCCCTGGACTGGAATTCTCGGTATCATTAGTGATAACAACGATTTTCAGTTTACTCCATGATGGCATGATATCACCGAACTGCCTGCGTTATCTATGATAATAATGAGGTAAACATTATTATTATGTTTGTTATCATAAAATATAAATTGTAATTCGTTGAAAATTAAAAAACGACTGTTCACTGTAGTTGGACTGTTGCAATTTGCAATGCTTCAAATTTAAATCACTTTTACTAGTTAGTAGTTTGAACTTTCCCCTTAAACTTTAAAGATCTTGGTTTTCAACTTGTAGTTGAAACTTACACAATGAGCGTTTTGTACAGCGATGACGATGGTTTCTTCATATCGCATCAAATGTTTATTTCAAAGTTGTACGATACTATTTTGAGCGAAACCCAAAACGATGTACATTTGTACGAACATTTCTTTCATATAAACAATCCATTTGTCAGGGACAAACAGCAAGTAGAAACTAGTGCGGAAAATAATGTTGTGAAACGTAAGAGAAAGCGTCCATCATTTGAGGTATTTAATGTTTCTTTAATGCGAGTAAATTAAATCCAGGTACTAAAGTACCACTTATTCTATTTAAAGAAATTTAGAAACTTTTCGTATTTATCACACCAACAATTTACCTTACCTAATCTAACCTAAAACAATTTTTAGGAAGATGAAACAAGTAAAAAAATCAAAACTTTTATATCAAACTTAAAAAGTCAAACAGACATATTTTCCATATCGCCAAAGATTTTGGATAATAATATTTGTGCTAGACATGCATCTATGAAGTTCTATGAAAACACTAGTGCGCTGAAAACATTTTATGGGCAAAATCCAAATCCAAACATACATACAGCTAATGGTTATGTATTCCCTCCGAAATGTCAGTTTTATTGTGACAATGTTTTCAACATGAAAAATTTAGGAGATGAAAAATATGACATGATATTGTTAGACCCACCATGGACAAATAAATATATAAAAAGAAAGAAGAAAATTAAACCTGATGAAGGGTACTGAATTAATTTAAATGAACTACGCATTAAATAATTGATTATATTAATTTATATTATTTTATTAGGTACACAATGATGGATGATCAGGATTTGGCTCAATTACCTATAAATCAGTTCCTAACTTCAAACGGTTTGGTCTGCGTGTGGTGTACAAATTCTCAAAATCATATAGACTCATTAAAGTCTGTATTATTTCCAATATGGAACGTAAAATATGTGGCCTGTTGGTACTGGATAAAGGTATTACAATTTGATAAAAAAATAAGTGAATATAGATCCACTAAGTTTTAGTATAATAATAATTGATACTGTACCTACTTGTAATCAATAACAAATGATATTTATAAACTTCGATGTATACTTTAGGTGACAGAATGTGGAGAATTTGTTTGTAATTTTACACCAGGAACTGGAAAACAGCCGTACGAACGCATATTATTCGGAAGGAAAATAGACTGTGATACCAAAATAAATAATCCTGAAGAGAATAAGTTCATCGCAAGTATTCCAAGTTCAGTGCATTCACATAAACCTCCTCTATCTGGTAAGCATTTTAATTAATACTTTCATTTTTTTACGAAATGCTAATAAATTATCATGTTTATTCATAAATAACCAATAAAATGTTAGTTAACCACTAAGAGAAATTAATAATATTCTATAACTTACCAAAGAATTATACCCTTAAATGGGCTTAACCCACTTTTTTTACGGTTTTTCTTCTCATATCCCCTTCTTATTATGTTATTTTTATCACTGATTTACATATTTATGCTTATTAGTTATTACACTAATAAATTAGTTACTCATCAATTAAGTTTCATACAGTCATATTTCCAAAAATATTTGATATCTATATTCCATTCGATGACTTTTAGAAAAATATAATTTTTTTTTTACTTTATTAGGTTTAAGGGTTTGACAACTGAGGTCATTATCCTGTAAGGTTGGTACGGTCGGTTAGAAACACGTGTATGAGTTGCAAGGTTCTTGCGCCTTAAGAACCCAGGGGATCACACCCATCCGAGAACTAGTGGCAGCGGCCGTTGCTTATTCTCAATTACGTCGCGTGATTGATTTCAGTCACTGCGCCGCCCCGAGCCACTAACAATATAATATGTTTTAATATTTGTATTAAATTACCTCTATAACTTATTACAAATAAATTAACCACAGTAATTATTATCCATCTTAAAATCTAATAGGATACTATTTTTATTTTTGAACCACCACATGAGGGAGGGAGTAGCTTTATTTCCCCTCCCAATCATATACTTAAGACTAACAATGTCTAATTTTATTTTTATTATAGAGATATTAATTCCTTATCTGCCTCCAAAACCAAAATGCTTAGAACTATTCGCAAGGTATCTATTACCTAACTGGACTAGTTATGGACTTGAAGCTTTAAAATTTCAACATCAATTTTTGTATGAAAATTCAGATTTAGAAAATTGTAATCACAAATCCAATATAAAATTTAATGAAAATATTATGTAAGTTTTTTATCAAATAAAAACGATTTTACACCACTGATATATTAATATGTATTTGTATATTACAATATACCCATCGTAAAGAAAGCTTACAGTAACATCAAAATGTATTATAATCCTTTACATTTATTTGAATAGCACAACCCAATGGAGCTAACTCACAGTTGACTATAAAAAAAAGTTGTAAAAAGTTATATAGTTATAAAAATACGATGCAAAACTCATGTTACAATTGTGTGGTAAAATTAATGTTAAAAAAACAAATCAATATTGATTTTTTTCTATACATTTATTTGTTTGAATAATAAACAATAATTTGTACAATTAAAAATTGAACAAGTTAATCAAGTACAAATACTATTACTATATTATATTGTTTTATATAATAAAATAATTGAACAAGTACAACAAATTAAAAATTAGTAATTTTTAGTTTTTTACTAGAAAGATTTGTGATTTATATTTTTAGTGGACTAATTAAAACGATGAGCAAAAACACTTATAATCTCATGTAGTATACACAAATTTAATCAAAGGCATGTTCCCTTTATCATAATACCATTGTGGCTGTGATAGAACAATGCCAGAACTCATTTTCGCCATCTATCAACAGTGTGACTTTTTTTAAATGTCTTAATGTTTAGCAAATATTCATTCGTATGAGTTCAATGCGTTTCTTTATCCCGCACATCCAACATGACCTTTGATGTTATGCACACAATATAATGAATTACATGCTATGTTAAAATCATATTATACGGTTTACTATCCTTAATTCGCTAATAAACTTCCTTGACATAATCTTCTTCTTTTTTCAAATACGATTTTAAATTAATTCAACTTCATAAATAATATTTTTTTGATTTACCACACATACAGTCTTTTATTGATCAAATTCATATAAAGATTACAGTTGCTAACTATAATCATTTACATCAAATTATTGTGATTTTTTCTTGACTGTTTTGAGCGGAGTGACAATTAACGGTAGTACATATATGCCCAATGCAGCTAATATGTGCAGATAAAACATGAGATGCCTGTAAAAAAAAATTATTTATCCATTATAATTTAAAATTTTGAGTGATTTATAAATATTTCATTTGAAAATAAATAAATAAATATAATACATTTAATATTATCTTCTAGAATAAAAATTAATAACACTAAAATACATTAGTAATTTATAAATAATAGCATGTGCATATATATGCATATATATACATATATATTTCTTACCAAAAGACGCGTAATGCAGGCATAAGCTCCAAGAGTATGAAGGAAAATGTCATGTATGACAAACAAAGTCTAGTCAAGAAACATGTTACAAAGTCGTAAGCAAGTTTTGCAGGTTTGGGTTGCTGGAACCTGTGCCATAAACATCTCCTAACCTAAAATAATAAACAATTAACATTTAACATAACATTTTTATTTAGCAGTTAATATTATCATATTGTTTTCATATAATTACCATTCTTGCACTGTTCGTAAATAATGATCCAGTAAGGAAGGTCACATAATAACCTGGGTAGAAACCATGCCAAAATGCAGATAAGGTGTATGTCATAACTGTGTTATATTTAGGAGATGCCCTTTCGTACATAACATAACGAAGCCACAGATTTGTGCCTTTGTTCCAGGCATCAATTGTAGCTCTGAAGTTAACACCAAACTAAACAAAATATTGACAGATTTAAAAACAAATATTATAACAATCAACAATAAGAGGATCATTTTAAGTATGATCTAGAAGTAGTTAAAATATAGATTTGAATACTCGTGCATACTTCAACTCCTAAAATATCAATATTATCGAGTAGATTCCATTCTTGATCGCCCTTCTCATTGTAACCAGAAAATCCAAAACCAGAAGCATTGCAAACTGCATCAGCTAGGGTCCAAGCAAAATAATACTTGAAACGAGTTAAAGATGTAATGACTATAATGAACCAAACTTTTGAGTAAAATGGAGATTCGTATAAAAATTTTTCATCTGAAAAAACCAAATATAATGTAATTATTCTTTACAAGATTGTGATACTTTAGGACAAGAGCTACATATAATTTATTAATTTAATATTAAAACTAGTGCTAGGAAGTTATTGCATTTGTTGAATTTTACAAATCTGTTTTATGCTTTTAAGAATTTATTTAGGAATTTTTTAATGCAATTTTGAAAATGTATTGGTTAGCTTGTAATTAGTGTTATTTGGTCAATTTTTTTTTTGCAAGTTTATCGATGCATATGAATTTAAAAAAAGAATAAAAAAACATTTATGTTATAGGATCATTGTAATTAACATTTATTTTTATGAACAAAAATAAAAAAGGTGATCTGCTGTACAGTAGGTTACAACTTACAAGTGGGTCACTGTATAATGGATGGTATTAAATTTGAATTCAATGATATAATACCATTGTATAAGAAAAACGATTCTGAGCGGAGACTGTATGTCTGTCTAGGTATAATACATATGTTATACTTATCTATGTTATAAAAAAATTGTTTGTTTTCATTTTTGTGTCTGTCATCACATTTTAGGACAGTAAAAATGTTTAGATTTCCTTCAACAGTATCTTTTCTAATAGGAAAGTGAATCTAGTTGGGACTTAAGAGGGTCTAAAGTAGAAATTTCCCAGTAGTTTTCAAAAGCGCCGTGAAAAACAAAAGGAAAATTAAGGAAAAACTGGAAGTTTTACACAAAATCTGTTTTTGAAAAAATCAATTTTGGTTTTTGGTGTAACTCTTAAACAAATTATCGTAAATGAAATTTTGAATGAATGTTTATATTACCACTTTCTATACATCATAAAACATTTTACAAATGTTTTGAGCTGTTTACGGACATTTTAGGTTTCTATTTTTTTTAGTTTTTTTTTTCTATAAATATCAATAAAATTTTATTTGTTGGTTAAAAAAGCTTAAAAATTTAACAGAATGCTCCAAGTATATTGTTACAAAGGTAGATGAAAAAAAATAAAAATTCAGTCACAATTTTTTTTTATAAGCATTTAAAAAACAAATATTGACAAAATACTCAAAAATTACGAAAATTTGCAAATTATTTCGAGTTAAAAATTCATAAAATTTTAGATTCTGAGCGGAGCGATGAATGTATTGGTTTTACAATGATGTGTGTTTTTTTTATTTTTGTGTCTGTCATCACGTTTTAGGACAGTAAAAGTGCTTGGATTTTCTTCATCAGTAGCTTTTCTGATAGGAAAGTGAATCTAGTTGGTACTTTGGGGGGTCAAAAGTATAAATTTCCCAGTAGTTTTCACAAGCGCCGGGAAAAACAACATAAAAATTAAGGAAAAACGGGAATTTTTACGCAAAATTGGTTTTCCAAAAAATCGATTTTGGTTATTGGTGTAACTCTGAAACAAATGAACGTATATACATGAAATTTTCACTGGTTGTTTATATTTGCATTTTCTATACACGATAACATTTTCAAAATATTTTGATTTATTTTGAACTGTTTAGGGACATAAATAAAATTTTATTTGTTGGTTGCGAAAGCTTGAAAATTTAATAGAAGGCTCCTAATATGTTGTTTCAAAGGCAGATGAAAAATATTAAAAATCCTTAGTCACAATTTTTTTTATAAGCATTTAAAGTTCAAAAATTGACAAAATATGGAAAAATCACGAAAATTAGCAAATTATTTTGAGTTAAGAATTCGTAAAAATTTTTCTTTTTAAATCTAAGATTTGAAAATGAAACACAAGATTCCTTATAAGATTATGTACCTTTATCAATAAAAAAATCTCAACCGGACAGTCAAATTAAATTTTTATGAGCGTTTGAAATTCAAATTTTTACAACATTGGATTTTCACTCGATTACTCATGTAGCGATTTCCTTATTTTGTTGCAATTCAAAAACGAACAACTGTAGATACATAAAAATTTCACTGAATGTTTAAATTAGCATTTTCTACACACCATACAATTTTGAAAATATTTTGACTCTTTTTGAGCTGTTTATGGACATTTACAGCTTTCAATTTTTTTTAGTTTTTTTTTCTATAAATATCAATAAAATTTTATCTGTTTTGCCAAAAAGTGTAAAAATTTAATACAAGGCTCCTGATATATTGTTACAATAGCAGTTGAAAAATATTAAAAATACATAGGCACAGTTTTTTTTTATAAGCATTTAAATATCAAATTTTGACAAAATTTATCAAAATCTCGAAAATTATCAATCATTGTAATTAATAAATTATAAAATGTTCAGTTTTTATAGCTAAGGATTACAAATTCAACACAAAGGTTCTCATAAGTAGTTCATACTATAACCAAAAAATATATGAACACACTTATTTTTTACAGACATTTTAAATTTAAATTTGGACGAAATTACATATTAAAAAACCTTGAATAACTATTTTAGTTATTTTGTTGTGATTGAATAATATTATTCGTGGGTACTTGAAACTTCTAAAGTGTACTATTATATATCTATGATAGTATCACGGTTTTTGTTGATGTATAACGCGTTATAAGTATCTAATGGATATTGTGATATGATTAATTTGGAATTTATTATAGGTACCTATTATAGGTCAATTTTTTGTTTAATAACATAAATATGTATATAATATGTCTGATACATAGACTGACATACCGTCACCGCTCAGAATCATTTTTCTTATACAATGATATTATATCATTGAATTCAAATTTAATACCATCCATTATACAGTGACCCACTTGTAACCTACTATACAGCAGAGCGACACCCACTTGCCCACCTTTTTTTCTTTTTAAATCTAATATTTGAAAATGTAATACAAGATTATTCATAAGTTTGTCTACATTGATCAAAAAGAAAAATTTCTAGAAGAAAGTCAAATTAAATTTTTATGAGTTTTCGAAATTCAAAATTTTACAACATTCAATCAACAATCACTCGATTTCTCATGTAGCGATTTTCTTATTTTGTTGTAATTAAAAAATGAATAACTGTAGATACATGGAAATTTTACTAAATGTTTATTTTATCAATTCTTATAGTTAATACAATTTTCAAAATATTTTGATTTGTTTTGAGCTTTTTACGGACAATTTCATATTTCAATTTTTTTTTTTTTTTCTATGAATATTAATAAAGTTGTATCTGTTGGGTCAAAAAGTGTAAAAATTTAATACAAGGCTACTGATATATTGTTACAATAGCAGTTGAAAAACATTAAAAATACATAGGCACAATTTTTTTTATAACATTTAAACATCAAATTTTGACAAAATTTATCAAATTTAAAATTGAATAATTATTTTGTAGTTAAAAATGTATAAAGTGTTCAACTTTTATATCTAAGGATTGAAAATTTAAGACAAGATTCCACGTAAGTAGTTTATTCTCTTACCCAAAAATCTAAAAAATACATAAGCACAGTTTATTTTTATAGTCATTTTAAGTTAAAATTTGGACAAAATTACATATTAAAAACCTAGATTAACTATTTTAGTTATTTTGTTGTGAATGAATAATATTATTTGTGGGTAATTGAAACTTCTAAAGTATACTATTATATATCTATTATAGTATCACGGTTTGTTGTTGATGTGTAACAAGTTATAAGTACCTAATGACTATTGTGATATGATTAATTTGGAATTTATTATAGGTACAATTTTTTTTTTAATACCATAGACAAGTATATGAATATGTCTTATACCTAGACTGACATACCGTCTCCGCTCAGAATCGTTTTTCTTATGCAATGATATTATATTATTGAATTCAAATTTAATACCATCCATTATACAGTGACCCACTTGTAACCTACTGTACAGCAGGGCACCTTTTTTAATATGTAATTTGGTCCAAATTTGCACTTAAATGACTATAAAAATAAACTGCACAATTTTCAATCCTTAGATATAAAAGTTGAACATTTTATAAATTTTTAACTACAAAATAATTGTCAAAATTTGATCTTTAAATGCTTATAAAAAATATTGTGCCTATGTATTTTTAATATTTTTCAACTGATATTGTAACAATATATCAGGAGTCTTGTATTAAATTTTTATACTTTTTGGCCCCCACACAGATAAAACTTTATTGGTATTTATAGAAAAAATAAATAAATAAATTGAAAACTGACAACGCCCGTAAACAGCTCAAAAAGCGTCAACATTTTATCAAGTATGTGAATTGATAAAATAAATATTCAGTAAAATTTGCATGTACCTAAAGTCATTCGTATTTGAATTATATCCTAAACAGTACAAAACAAATCAAAATAATTTAAAAACTATATCGTGTATAGAAAATTCAAACAAACAATCAGTTAAAATTTCATGTTTCTACGGTCATTTGTTTTAAAGTTACAGCTAAAACCAAAGTCGATTTTGTGGAAAACCATTTTGCCTAAAAATTCTCGTTTTTCCTTAATTTTTATTTTTTTACCCTGGCTTTTGATTTGGGAATCGAAAATTTGACCTCCCGAATGCATCAACTAAATTCACTTTCCCATCGAACAAGATACTGTTGAAGAAAATCGAAGCAGTTTTACTGCCCTAAATCGTGATGACAGACACAAAAAAAATAAATAAAAAAAAAACACACACATCATTGTAAAATCAATACATTAATTGTTTCACTCAAAATCTAAAATATTTAGTTGCAAGTGCTTTTCATTTGAACGATAATAAAACAAAATTTAGAACAATTTTATAGATCTCTTTATAGTTATATCCATTATCCAGTGTTGGGTAAGTTAATTTTAAAAAGTAATTAAGTTACTTTACTCGTTACTAAGAGATAAATGCAATTAAGTTACTTTACTCGTTACTCAAATAAAATTGTAATGAAATTACTTTACTTTTCAACTAGAAATGTAACTCATTACTTTCTCGTTACAAAAATAAAAATTGTTTAGCTATAATTTTCTTCTGCAGTCAAATTGAACAAGCCAATTCTTTATAAAACCTGTATAGTTAATAGGATCATATAAAATTTAGTCTTCCATACAAGCTATATTCATAGAAAACCTATTTAAAGGAATCAAATTAAATAATAAATTTAATCAACTGTTTTAGTGATTTACGGTGCAATTAGACATTTCAAATGTCAAAACCATTGAAAACTGAATTGTGCCGAGTTAAAATTAAATATACAGTGAATTTGTGGCCACCGGTTAATACGGGCATCCGCTTATTGTGGGCAAACATGTCTGGTCCCAATACAAATGTTTTGTTTTAACTAATTTCGGTTTTAATGGGCAACCGCTTAATGTGGGCAAACAGGGCTGGTCCCAACGCCCCCACATTAAGCGGAATCCACTGAATATACATATTAGATTGGTAAACATAATAATACCCGCATTATACATATATTTTTTTCAATTCGCAATAGGTAGGTAGGTACTTAATAATTCAAAACTGTAACGCGTTATTCTATAGAAATTACTTTTTAAAAGTAATTTCCATTACATTTTCGTTACTTGGAAATAATTCTAATGAAATTACGTAACGCGTTACTTTCGTTATGTTACTACCCAACACTGGTAATATCTTAATTAATTGTATACATTCTTCGGTGCAATAACTTCCAAACCTTAATTATCACAAATCAGACCAAGTAAATAGTAGAGAATAAACATTAAATATTCAAAAATAAAAAAATAGTTACAAACCTATCAATGTAGAGGCTGGGTACATTGGTACAATGAAGTAAATTACAAGAGCGCATATGAAAGTAATTAATACTTTTTTCAATACAGGCTTTAAAGGAGATGGAGGTGATTTAGCCTAAACAAAATAAGTTTATAAAATAAAAATACAAATAAGTAAAAAAATATAGATACTTACCTCTTTTGGTAATTTTTTTGGAAAATTGGTACCATCTAAATAGGCAATATAATCTTCAAAAAAAGCATTGGGACCAGCTAAAATTGTTTGAAATGTTAATAAGTAGCTTATGTATTGAATGAGTGTTGGTGCCTTTCTATAAGAAAACAATTTATATTAAATGACTAAACATATTAGACAAAAAATGAAATACAAAATGTTTTACCTAATCTTATAACGTTGTTGAATATCTGTTAATTGTTTCTTGTCAGCCATGAGTCCATCGTGTAAGCCACATGCTAATGCTGATAATTTTTGTACCATTACCATTACTGGACCTGAATAATCAATATGATTACTTTATTTTGAATTTAAAATAAATAAATAATAAGATCCATTAAAACCAGTATTAAAGTATTTCTTTTATATACAATGTTTAATTTTTTTTTGTTAACATTTTATCAGCTTATAGTAGGACTTAATTGGCAGTTGGTTTACTTTCCAAAGTTTTATAAGAATTTCTGGAATGTCCAAAAATCTTATTGTTTAGATAATTAAATGAATAAATAGGTATTTTAGGAAAAAGGCAAATAAATGTCATAAGAATCAAATGTTGTATATATATTTATAAAAATACTAACTGATTCCGTGCACTTTGTCGCCAGTTAAATGCATCTACTCTATATGATTCAAACTTGGTTCAGTTTGTTAATTAATATTTGGTGTATGGTGTTCAAAACATAAAAATTTTCATCGATTATCTTGAATCTCAAAATACTTGTTCAAGCACCACTTTATAAAATTTGAATTTTGGAAGATGCTTTCTTAGTACAAACTTACATGGTGGTATAAAGGTACCATGAAAATTGCAAGCAGTAAGGTATCATTATTTAGGCTCTATGTTCATCAGTCAGTGAGTCAGTGGGGACACGTTCGATTATATTATATTACAGCTATCCCGATCGGCGTTGCCTGCCTGTGAGACACGCTTGTGTAATGCAAGAAATATATTTTCAGGCAGATAAACCATCTTTGGTGGATTGCAGATCCCTCGAGGGTGATACGTAATTACAAATATTTTATTAACACATTGTTTGTGATGTCAATGTGTAGGTTAACGGGATAACAGTAGAAAAATTAGTGTTAAGATTACCATTTTTACTAAGGTGTATGGTTTTGATCAAATATAATATACAGGTCTAAAATTATATTCTATCATAACCAATAGGAACCTTACAATGAACAAAAATATATAAATATTTAGATTATTTTCTTGCTGAACAGAAGGTTCCACTGTTGTATTTTTGACATCCAGAATGGATGAGTGGACATTTAGACAATTATGAACACAACAGAAAAAAAATACGCCCAATCGGTAAATGTGTTCTCAAGTGATGTCATGACAAAGGATTAGGGTCCATTTTTATATATATGGATTTTTAACATTCTAGTGAATTTTAACTAATAATGAATAATAAAAATTACTAATTGTTTTACCACATGTCTTAGACAAAGTAAAGAAAATTACATAACATGAAAATAAAATAACTATTTTAAGTTTGCTATATTTTTAATATATAATTTACCTGTAATATCCAAGGTATAAGATCCATACTCATAAACTTGACGATAAATATGTAATATTGATAAGTACAAACAACATATAAGTAAAACGGCTCTAAAAGAAATAAGAATTCAGCATGTCTTAAAATTACCACGAAACATACATAATAATTTTATGTTATAATTACTTATGTATCATATTTGGACTCAATGTTTGTAAAGCAACGTAACAGATTGTAGGTAGAATAATAAGATGTAACATTTGACTGCAAAAAAAAAAACAAGGGTTTAGAATCTATAATAATCTATCACTCAATATTAAGTTTCAAAACTTATATTATATAAATTATAGCTAGGTACTACAAATGTAAAAATTAATTTAAAATTTTTTTTTTATCATTTCCAACTCTTACTAAAGTGCAATAGTATTCCATTAGAATAAGCAACTTTAATACCTAACTCAGCAGTTCCCAAACTTTTTTAGCTCACGGCGCCCTTTTTGAACTAAACTTTTCTCAAGGCGCCCTTCCCAAGACATAGCATGAATTTATTTTTAGACCAGGTAAATTTCTACGGCGACGCGGCGCCCCTGAAAAGACATCACGGCGCACCAGGGCATCGCGGCGCACAGTTTGGGAATCGCTGACCTAACTAATACCTAACTATTAAAATAATGTTGAAAAAGAGAATATTAGCATCATATTTTAGGTATTTTAAGAGAATATAAATCCAGTCTTTAGTCATCACTATTGAGGGCAGTAAAACTGCTTCAATTGTCTTCAACAGTATCTTGTTCAATGGGAATGTGGATCTAATTGAAGCATTCGGGAGGTCAACATTCAAACGCCAGGAAAAACAAAAACAAAATTAAGGAAACCGGGAATTTTGACCCAAAATTGGTTTTCCACAAAATAGATTTTGGTTTTAGGTATAACTCTAAAACAAATGACTATATACATGCAATTTTTACTAAATTTTTATATTACCATTTTATAAACATCGTAAAACTTTCAAAATATTTTGACTGGATAGAGCTGTTTAAGGATATTTTAGGTTTCCATTCTTTTTTTATAAATGTCAATAAAGTTTTCTTCGTAGGGTCAAAAAGCTTAAAAATTGAATACAAGGCTCCTAAGATATTGTTACAATGGCAATAGAAAAATATTAAAAATACAGTCACAATTTTTTTTATAAGCATTTACTTTATCCACAATAATATCAAATATACTTAGAAATATCATAGGCTGACTGACCATCTTCCCTCAGAATCGTTTTTCTTATACAATGATATTATATCATTGAATTCAAATTTAACACCATTACAGTGACCCACTCGTAACCTACTGTACAGCAAAGCGACACCCACTTGCCCAACTTTTTTTTTTTTAAAGCACTAAACTTTCTATGTTTTTTTTTTTTTGTCTTAATAGTTTATGATGTAATATTTATTATTTTACCAATATTTGATAAAATTATAGGATGCAACATAGAACTAACTACTTATTTTGGACAGTTGTCTTATTTTAGTATAATACATAATGTTTAAATATATAATAGCCAATATGTACAAAATAGAGCGTATATCATTTAGACAAACAAGAAATTAATAGAAGTTACACTAGCATAATATACTTGATTTTGTATATTACTTATTTTATCAACTGAAATTGGTGGAAAATAAAATAATTATAAGAACATTTTTCAAATTAACACTCAAAAAAATTAATAAAAATGGGTAGCAGATTTGTTAATATGAGTTAATAAAAGAATATTAAGAAATTATAATTAAAAGTTAGACATTTCTCTTAGACATTTACAAAATTATAGTATAAATTCTAAGGTATAAAAATATTATTGTGATAAAAATAAAATATTTTATTAACAATTAATACCTGTTAAAAAGGAGACTATACCAAGGGCTGTCTCTGTTTTTCAATCGAATATATTAGCAACTTTACATTTAGAAAAACCAATTTTGTATTGATAGCTTTAATATTAAAGTAAATTGACCTGATATTAAACTTATTAATTAAGAACCTTATCTGTGTTTGTATGTAGGTTTGTACGATATTTTAATTTTTAAGTAAATTCTTAGTATACAAACTATTAAGATATAAAAATGCTCATATTCGCTTAAAGATTAAAATATCATAAAATACAAATACAGATAATGTTGATACCTTTAAATTAATTAATAAGTCAATAGTTTAATATAAAAGATACATCACTACATTAAATGTATCCTACTGAATACAAAATACTTAACATATTATATGTTTGTAATAAGTTTGTATCACCTGAAGGTATAACATCCAATTATGTTTAAATACTATTTCAAATAGATAAAAGAAATAACATACCTAACAATTTTATTGACTTATTTTTTTAGGTTATTATGTTAAGTTTTAATATAATATAGATTGTACACAATGTGTATTAATTTTATTATAAAAAAAGTATATTACTATCCAAAACAGATGTAAGCCATGGACAATCCAATTGTAAGTCCAAATATTTCTCGAAGAAATACATATTGTCGATTTTTTGGTGGCAAAAATGTATACATTAATGGTGCTATACATAATGCAGTAAGTTGACAAATTACAAAATTCACCTGCAAATAAAATTTCACTTGATTAAATAATAATATTAAGTAAAAAAATATGTAAGACATAAATAGGCTGAACTAACATAACTAAATAAATAAGTGGTCCAAATATTATTTTTAGATTCTGAGATCTCAGAGGAATATACTTTTAATAATTAAAATAATATATATAGGTAAGATATAGTAAGAATCATTTCATTTGAAGCAAATAGCAAATACAATATTGTTATGTTAGTTCATAGTTGTATTTGCTATTGTAACAATAATAATAAGTACCTACATGAATTAAATTAAAATTGGTCTGTTTTTACACGTGCAAAAAACAGTACCAATTTATCAATCAGTTTAAAAAAAAATTATAAATAAAACGGGTTGCAGGTAAATTTAAAAAAATAAAATATATTCACTAATAGAATTGGTTCAGTTATCCAAACAAATATATGTTAATATATGATTTTAAGACTAGCTTACATGGAAAATAAAATGTCAATCATGAATATTAAAAAAAGTTTACTAGTATACGAGCTTATGCAAGTATGTATTATTGAATTTGGCGTCACTTAAATTTGAAACATTAATAGTAATTTAAATATTAAACAATGGCAAGTTAATAAAAATAGAATCAAGTACATAGAAATACTACAAGTATCTATTCAAATTTAGCACACAGTAATATGTAAATTAAAAATGAATTCCTTAATAGCATAGAAATACCATGTAACACTTTTGTAACACATATATTTACATATACAATACGCTATCTTTTTTTAACACAATATAATACGAGATGTAATATGTCAACTTGTTATATTAAATATATTATTTATTAATTGAATCAGGTCACACGGCCAATTGTATGACTTATGTATTTAAGTTCTTTATATAATCTAATTTATGGTATTTAATAGTATTTAACTTCCGGTATTATGTATCGTTGTCAAAGAAAGAAAAATACTTTAGTTGATTATTGTCAAGAGATTTAAACGTATTTTATTTGACTGAGAGGTCAATTAATATTATATAGTTATAATAATCAATAATTCCACTGGTTTTTTTTTTAATTTTTAACTAGGTAATGATATCTTATAAGTTATAACTCATAAGTATGGTATAAAATAACAATTATTAATACTAGAATACCTATACACAACGGATTTTTTTTACCTAAGTATATAATATTATGTATAATAAAATATAGATTATAAGTGAGATAAGACAGTGTTGTTAAGGAAATTCCTTTTTAGAGGTACGAATGAAGAAATTAATTCCATTATTTTTTAAAGGAATAGGAACATAAATATTATAATTCTTTTCATCTTCTCAGAAATGTTTTAAAAAACATATGTGTGGGGAAAAATTTTGTTTACTTTTAATTTTTAAAACTATAAAAAAATAATAAACGAGACTACCAATTTTTTATTAATATATGACATGTTGTTCTGATTAGTGATTATGATAATAATTGATAACTCATGAACCATGAAAAACGAGGAAAATTATTAGTTCCTTTTAATATTAAATGAATGATAAACTGAACGAGTTCCTATATAAAAGGAATGTTAACAACACTCAGATAAAGAAACTAATCATAGAAGCAATTTTTTGGAAAAGTTTGAAGAACCCTGTCACCTCCTCAACACACAACATTTTCATAAAATTGCTACAAACTTGTTTTCAAAAATATTTGTTGATGTACCTAGTAAAAGTGGTGCTTCTTTAGATTAGAATTTCATTGTTTATTATATAAATGGATAGGGAATTATTTAAATAGTTAAGTAGATAAAATGTTAACATGAAAATGTTGGTCAGTGTTTAAGCACTTACAATAATTATAGACAATTCACAAAAATTAATTAGTACATTCAAATTTAAATTAATTATTAATGGCATTTGTTACAATGTTGGGGAAAATTCCATTAAATTACTAGAATTTATTAGAAGAACAGTAGGTATAATAATGAGTGTTACATTCTGAAGTTGTTTGCTTATTTTTAATTGGTTTTTTATCAATTACGATAGGTACACTTTGGTTTTTTTGTTGAATTATAAAATACATATATGAAAACCAAACTATAAATTAAAAAAAAAGGAAGGAGTAACTAGTATAAGCAACCACACTTGATGTTTGGTTATTAGTGAAATCTGGACCCTATTCTTGGGTAAACCAAACTTGCTCAGAATCGTTTTTTAAATCTTATTTTGGTGTTAAAGTGCAGTATTTACCAATATTATTTTTCAACAGTAAAATATATTTTTAGTTCAATAGTGATTTATGTAAACATGGTTATTAAAAAATGAAACATCTTTCATGTTAAAATTGTCATACACTTTTTTTAATTTACATGTAATTATGAATTAATAGTTATCAAGGTCTTACAAATTTATTGTAGGTACTTGGTAAGTACTACTTAATAATAATACATTGGAAATAACTGTCATATATATTTTAATTTATATTAGGTTACTATCATAATTGTTATATTTTTTATGAAGGTATAGCTTGCTATAATTATTGCCAATTATAAAATATTAATAAAAACATAATATGAGGTCTATCAAACTAAAAAAATATATATATAATCAGAGAAACATAATATAAAGAGTAAAACTTTAAATATGTATCAGTATTAGGCAATACCTACCTCTTAAACATTTTGTTAAATTTAGTTTAATTAACATATTAGGTATGTACTATATAGTTTTAAAAACAATTATACAAAGGTACCAACTCGGTTACCCATTTATTTTAGAAAAAAAGGGTGGATGTCGAATGACAAGTATTTAATAGTCAATAATACCTAAATATTTTATAATATATACCTATATACCTATTTATATATTATGAGCAAAAAAACGTAGGTAATGATATGTCAATTTTAGATTATTTGTATGGTTTAAAAATATGTTACGATCCGCAAAAATGAAAGTTAAACAAGTCATTGTACAAGAATTATAGGAGAGCTTGTGACATAATTAGAACTCGTTAAAGAAATGTTTTGAAACATCAATCAAATTCTTCCTATCAATGTGTTTTCATTTTATTATCAGTGTTAATATCCTATATTGTTAAATCTGTTTATTATATATTTAGGTAATAGGTATAAGGTATATTGTATACTTGTAAAAACGTCCAACCAACAATAACATTTTAAATCAAATCTCTAATATGTATGACTTATTTATGTATATTTGAATAAAGAAATAACAAACAAATAAGCGTGATGGTGAAATCCTGGGTGAAATACATATTTTGTCATAAAGCTGGATATCATAATCTAATTATCTATTATATGACATAATACAGGTAGATAGGTATTGTATTGTATACCTAAAGTTCAAAAACAATAGAAAATTAAAATTATATTTACCAAATCTACAGATAGCCCAACACAATCGGAGAGCGGTAAAAACATTTCACTCCCATGGTAATTCTGCGTCTTCATTTTTGATTTTATATGTAAACACACGCACTAATGAGAAGATATATTGTGTTTTTTTGATTTTCTGTACCAACAAGAAACTTGCGCGGTCACGATGACTTCATGTTCGTGTGAATTTTAATTCAAAATTAAACGAGACGGCTAAAAAAAAAATATATATAAAATTATTCAGTTCGGCATACACCACGGCAACTATTGAAATATTGAATTTAACAACAATAATATTATTACTATTATAGTCGTTAATATTAATATTTTATAACTTTTCTAATTATTATTGACGAACGTTACCTCACAGAACTGCAAGGATGCAGTTCGGGCAATTTATAGCATCGGCACAGGAGAGCATCAAGCACACGTTAAGGTATTATGCAGAATACGACGATGCCGCTTGCAAGACGTAACTACGAGTTATAAGTCGTAACACGAAAAAACACGATCAATTCGAGTGCAGTTACTGAAAAAAAAAGGACTAGTGGCACGAGTGCACGACCACGACGACGACGACGACGGTCGACGGTACGCCACGGAAGAATAATATAATCAAATATCGATATACCCTACGACTGTTATCAGCGGTGTTTTATTCGTGATAAGAGGGTTAAGGTCAACAAACTCGTGGTGACACCCCCCGCACAATAATCCTTCAGACCCTTGTTAAAACGACGGTCGAGGGTCAACGACCACATAACCTCAACCCAAGGGCTGCATCAACGATAGAACAATAAAAACGAATATTCGTTTGTCATTTTCGTTTGCCGTTTCGCACTTGTGTGAAATGAAGTATTGCACGCCGCCGGATTCGCAAATTTTTCATGGCAACACTGCTAAATATTTGTGTTCCGATAGCCTGTACCGCTGGCGCTGACAATTTTTTTTTTCTTTAAAATTTTCGAAATGAAACTTAAAACTACTATTTCTACTTTTTTTCACATTAATTTTAGTAGGCATCATCATAAGTCATAACCCTTGTAGTACGGAATATGGACCGCCGAGAACTGGACGAGTGGCATTTCACCGATTTTAATATTCAGCTTTTTGAAAATATTGCATATTATTACGTTATTCGGGGTCCGCAATTTTTTGTCCTCTAACGTTTGACTTCAATGACATCTGCTTCTGCTCGCCACCGTTATCGGATGAACTAAACAGTTATAATTTTATGTAGGATGATTATGAAATTACTATTTTTCCAAGTATCAGAACAGTGAAAAACCACTAGGTGTCTAGATATTTCACTATACCTAATACAACCTATATGGCTATATAATATACCTGTTAATAATATATTATAAAATATATTAGGTATATATACGTGGTGATTAACCAATCACCATTTGTCCATTTATCAAGTATGCTCACCCCTTTTTTTCTTTTTTAAATATTGCAGTTATTCAAAATCTGATTTTAACATTTTTAACATTTGTACCTAAAAGTTAAAGACCAAAATATTTTTAAAATTCATGAGATTTGTTTGTACTAGGTACTAGGTTATAAAAACTTCTGTTTTTCAAATGAGAAACCCTCTTTTTACTGTAATTATTAGCACAGAATATAACAATTAGATAGTGTATAATTTATTGAAAATTTTAATGAACCTAATTCAAAATTTAAACTACCTATTTGTTTCTTTGTTATTAAAATATTTATTCCAAAGATAATAGTTTTTTTTAAATCGTTACAAGTAGATAGTATATATTTAAAGTAGATGTGATATTTGATCTAATATTTATAACTATTATAGATACTTGACCATTTTTAAAAATTATCCTAAAATTTTCAAACCAGCGTAGCCCCCATGTCTTCCGACTTCCAAACCCATTATCATTGACCCATTATCCTTAGTCTACCTACACATAGTTAAATAACTCAAAACCTAGTTTCAGTGGCGTCCGCAGGATTTTTCGATGGGGGAGGCTTGAAAATTGGTTACAATTTTCTTTTCATTTTGTCCAGTCTAATAATTTCAGACGTTTATTTGAGGTATTTTAAAATGTTTGTAACTTTTCAACTTTTCTGGTAGAAAAAATGCTCTGATCATAAGCTTCGATGATGCCCGGTGTATGTTTTTGGAAGCAAATTGGATCTAGTTGGTACTATTAGGAGGTTGAAATTAAAAATGCTCAGTGCTTTTAAAAATAATTTGAGAAAAAAAAATGAAAATTTATTTAAATGTTTGGTTATACCGTCTTCACTTGGATTGTTTTAGTCTTTTAGAATAATTAAATTTTTTTTTTTTCTATAAATGTCAATAAAAAATTATTTATTCGGCCAAAAAGCCTAAAAATGTAATACGTACGTTTTTTTATTATAGCTAAAATATTAACGATACATAGGCATCATGCTTATTTTTTATAAGCATTTAAAGTTCAAATTGTCAAAACCACAGTTAATTTGTAGTTCAAAACTTATAAAATGTTTATAGCTATTAGCTAAGGCTAGACAATTTAATACAAGGTCTTTCATACAAATAGTTCATACTTTTACCGAAAAATTACAGATAATTTATGAAAATTGGTATGTTACAAATACAATGTTTTTTCAAAAATGAATTCATTCTGGTAAGACATATTTGAAAATTACGTCTTGCTTACTATAGTTGACAGTTTAACTTGATTAATATTTTTTTGAAAAAGTAATAATAATACGGGTAATGGGGGGGGGGCTTTAGCCCTTTAGCCCCCCCCCTGCGGACGCCACTGCCTAGTTTTAAGCTACTCGTTCGAATTTTGATTCTTATGTGACTACATTTTCAGAAAAATTATTTTCTAAATAATAATAATAAAATAATATAACTTATAAGAAGGGTTTTCATTTTAAAACAGAAGTTTGTATCTCCTAAAAGGGACAAAAATCTTTAGAATTTGAAAAAATGGTCTTAAAGTAAATTTAAAAATTCCAAAAATCCGATATTTAAGAACTGCATTATTGAAGAAAAACGGGTGAGCATGCTTGGTGAAGATGTATGTTTAAGTTTTTAATCTAGTATTAAAAAATTGTAAGCATGAAGAAAGGAAAAGCACAAATGGCAACAAACAACGACACATTTGACTAATTTCACCTTTTTTTATATAAATATCCAGATATATGCATAGACTCCGCATACTTGGGACTACTGACGAAGTCCTTTCGGCAATTAATAAGCTGCAGATCAACTTCCACAGCGGTTATCTACTCGGATGAATAAAATTGTTACCTGTAGGTAACCGTTCGTACTATATAGCTGCTTACTACAAATACATAATACACAGAGCAAAGCTGTAACATATTATAATTGATAACATATAGGCGCAATTTCAACTTTTGACTTGGGGGGGCGGCTGAATATATTAAAGGCAATCAGACCATTGTATAGTATAGCATATTAAAATTGTATGTCGTAAGTTTAAGGGGGGCTTAGCTCCCCCAAGCCCCCCCCAATTTGCTCCTATGATTGATTGCATACAATTTTTTATGAAATCTGCTGATTGTACATAACATAATAAAGAGAATAAAATCTGGAATTTTGTTGATGAGGGTTAAAGAAAAAATGTATAACCATGATTTAGATTTTTTGTCCTGTTCAGCGGATGTCTGTATATTATTGATAAATGATAGTTAGGTATAGTTGAAACCACTGTATACTACTGTATACTAATTGAGTCCCTATCCCTGAACGGGAAAAAAATAATATACTAATTGAGTACCGGGTACAAACGAGACATATATACTAATTGAGTCTGGGGTTAGGAAACTAATTGTAAACGAATTGAGTACGACTATTATTTTGAGTAAAATATAAAATAACCATCCAGAGTCCAGACACAGCGAAAATTATGCCACACAGCCGTGCCGCGCGTCAAAAGCCGCTCCACACGGATATACTTATATATATTATATACATATCATTCATATCATTTTTATGACTTTCGTCAGATAATATAGTAACATATTATACTATGGGCCGGGAATTTTAGATTGACAGAAATTTTTTTTTTTTTTAATTTTACGGGACTCAGTTAGTATTAAAACATGGACTAAATTAGTATTATACCTACAATTTCACTGGACTCAATTGGTTTATACCCTAAAACAACCCGGGACTCAATTCGTCATAAAAGGTTATACTGGGACTCAGTTCGTATGCAGCCGTTGAAACATGGAAATCAGTTCAAACATTTCAAACTAGCATATGTAATTTGCGCACATTAATAATTATCATAGGACATAAATCATTATTAATAGACTATATAAAAGTATAAAGTATTAAAGTAGCAGTTATGTTTTAAACGATGTAGCATTAAAATAAGGAGAATTAAAAAATTATTAATAATGCATAATTGAATTTTAATAATTTTTTCTGATGAATCAAAATATATAATGACTTGTACAAATCACTATAACTTATCTTCGTCCAGTAAACCTAACTGTAGTAATATAAAATATGAATCATAAAACATAATATTATTATTATTACATTTTTTATCTGCAGTCAATAATACTCAACGTATGACGTATGACGTATGATATATTATTAATTATTACATACCTACGTGACGATTAAAAATTATTTATTAAAGCGTTTACCTAAAATAACTTTTATCTTGTAAGTTGTAGGCTATATAATACTTTAAATACCAACATTATTACAAGCAGACAGTGGTGGAATTTATGAGGTGGCAAATCACCCCCCCCCCTTCCATCGGCCTAGCATCTAGGTTAATAAATTGGACTATTTTTAAATCGTAAAATCAGGAAAAAGACAGTGGGCCCCCCAAAAAATTCTTTAGATCCACCTCTGCAAATAGAGGAGGGGGACTTACTGACTTAGTTCCCCCAAATTTCTACCAAGTTCCCCTATACAAAATGTAGTAGGTAGTGGGTACTGAACTTATTATATAATTGTTAAAAATATTATGGGAGAGGGGACTTTAAATAGGACTATTTACTCCTTATATGCTTAAATAGTTAAATTTAAAGAGCTGCAGGTACCTACTACCTACTATTTTAGTCTATCTACCTATTTTATTTTCAGCCCTGTGGCGTAGTAAGGGTGGAGGAGGTTTACCTCCCCCCACAGTCATGATTAAATTAATATAAATATATTTTAGGTACCTTAAAACCGGGTAAATAGAAACAAAATCAGTGTTTTTGCTCAACGTCCCCACAATTGAGTTTTCATGTTATCAATATTTTTAATTCACATTAACAATTGCCAACTAGTGCCATTGTTCTAACTTGTTCTATGCTAGTGCGGTTTTCAAATAATCAAGAATTATTATTTTATTGTTCCTTCATGATAGCCAAATATTAATAAGAAAAAAGTGAAATTTTATTAAATTTTGTTTCTATTCACCTCTTGGTTTGTTGAATAAAATATAAATGTAAATTGTAAATACTATGCATGTTTCTATGGACCCCATTTTCCAAAAATTAGGAATTGAGCATTTAAAAAATTAAAATTATATAAAATAATCTGTTAATAATACAAATATTTTGACTGAATATAAGTTAAAGTACTCGAAAAGACGAGTATTTTGATGAATTGATCATCTATAAAGCACAAATAGAAAAGTTTGTAGGATACTTCAAAGTTCAAAAGTGTTTCTATTCACTCGGTTTACGGTAAAGAAATATCAAATTATTGAAAATTAACTGTTATTTTAAATATAAATACTTATATATATAAATAATATATAGTATACATTTACAAATATTTCTGGATACAAATTAAATGTAAATTAACCTCCCCCCCCCAGGAGAAAATTGTATCAATTCCTACTGGTTCATCCAAACCACAAATTTAGATAATATAGGCATAAGGCATATAGCCATATAGGTACTAAAATGAATTCTCTTAACACCTGCAACTATTAAAAAAAAATTCATAAAATGCCAATTAGTATGAAATAACCAATTTATTATCAATACCTATTAAAACTATAAAACCATATAATGTCCATATGGCATATACCGATGATATATTATTATCATAGGCGCAATTTTAACTTTTGACTTGGGGGGGTTGAATATATTAAAGACAGAGGTTAAAGTGGGGGGGACTCAGGAGAACTCAGCCCTCCTAACTCTGACGGCGGTTAGAAAGCGTCCCCTTTAACAAATTAGGATTTTATACATTTGACATTATACATAAAATTATATATGGAATGCTTAAAACTATATGGAAACATTAGTCCCCTCTGGAATTTTTCCCACTTCAACTCCTGATTAAAGGCAAGCAGACCATTGCAATATAGCATTTTTAAATTTTATGTAATAGGTTTTTGGGGGGCTACGGCTAAGTTTAAACCTCTCCCCTAAATTGTGCCTATGATTATTATACTATTTACATGAGGATTTGATTAGATGATAGTTATTGAGACGTATCATATTCTACTTAAACAATCTATAACATGAAATTCGTATGCTAAATGATAAAGCTTTAAGTGCTTGGTCAATTAATCAATGTCATTTTATATTTTATAAATGTTATCATTCAATATTATCCAATTGCCAGTCGAAATTATTTTCTTCTATTTTACTAGCATATCGAACCATAGGCGCAACTTGGGACAATTTTCTGGGTGGATGGAACGATATCAACAGCACAGACCCCGATAATTGAAATTTTTAACTAAAATATGATTAAAAAATGGGTTGCTAATGGGCTACGGACAATAAAAGCGCGCCTATGTATGAACGCCTTTTAAGAGTCTTTGCCGCTATCACTACATAATATCTCTCGACAGTGTTCAGTGACAGTCAATGGTCATAAGATTTTGCCATGGGGAATTTATATTGGAGGGATGAGGATGACTTTTTATGCTGGTTCATTTTCCTCCAAATTATGTGGATCAATATTGTGAAATAAATTCAAACAGATATTTTTAACTGTTCTTTGATCACTAAAAATGTAATTTAAGGATAATAATTTGATTTATTAATTAAAAAGATTTTTTTTTGGCTAGTTTATGTTTATCTAATACTTCACTATGGTTATATTTACAACCCATTGTAGAAAATATGAAAATACTAGTTGAAACTAAATTAGGTTTTACCTATTGACCATTACCCACTCACAACCCACCACCTATTAAAAAGAGGCAACCACCCTATTTAGTTTAACTTCTTTGCTATGCAACTGACCACTGTTAAATACAATTCTTTTTTTTATTAAATACAAAAATATTGAATGAAAATAATTCAATTGTCGATTATATAACCAGTTTACATACTAACAAGTCATAAATAAACAAAATGTATACAATATCATAAATATAATGTATTAATACTTTTAGTCACCGTGTACAACAGATAAATAGGTATCGCATTATGTAAAATGAAGCAAATATTTCAAAAATAGATAACAAAATTAAAGCTACATAACTCAAAATATACATAACAGGCATTTATGTATTTTAGTTATACTAATTTTGTAATACTCAACTATGGTATAACAATGATAAAATAAAGCACTCGGGTACATAAAAAAAATATTATTTCATAACTTAAAAAATATGACCATATTTTAACTTACAAAATAAATAACCTATATCTATATTAAGAACTAATGTAGTACTGTCATTGATATAGAACAAATGATCCCTTAAAATAATTAGACATTTTCACTAAGTTTAAATCTTAATCATCTATTACATTTTACTTAATTTCCCTTGCAATAGTCTTAATAACAATAGTATTAAGATTTTCACTACAAAAAACAAATCAGTCATTGTTATTAAATTGTTTACTAATGAGTAATTATATAAGTGTACATTACATTATACAACATTATATTAAAATGTTTTAAACAATAAGTCCAAGTATAGATAATTTAAGAAGAATAAAGTTAAATAGTTATCAAATTAAAAATAATTTATATTATTTATTCTTTGGTCCACGTCGAAACGATGCCTTTGCCTAGGATCTCCAGGAACCATTGGTTTCCTGCGTGGATCATTTGGTACCGCCATCATTTGTGGACACATTATAGGTGGGGGCATATGCCGCATATCACTATCCATAGGGCGTGGTTGAATTGGGTTGGGTGTTGGTAGAAGTGGAGCCCGAATAGCTGATGCACAGGTGTTAATATCTTGTTGTGGTTTTCTAGGATCTCGAGGAGCGCTTTTTTGAGGTGCCACTGCTGGTCTAACAGTAACTGGACTAACAGTTGTAGGGACATTTTGAATAAACATTGGATCCCTTGCTGCTGTTATACTACGTCTAAGTCGTGGATCGTCAATTCCCATCTATATAAAATACATAAGTTTGATCAAACAATTCAATTGAAATAATGTTAATTTTATCTACCGTAGGTGGAATTTTAGAGTAGTCAGGTACAGAAACTTGGGTTGGTGACATTTGATATTTCATTGGCGGATGACTATCAAGAGATGCATCTATCTCTGTAGCTGCTGCAACAGGAAATTGAAATGGCAGTTGTCTTAGATCTACATCTGATTTTCCAAATTCCACAGCACAACTATCACTAGCAGTAGGACTAGCAGGAGATTCTTCAATAATACTTTTTCTGCAATCACAAAATAATTGTATTAAATACAAAAGTAAAAATATTTTTTTGATTAAATTAATGTGATGTAAACATACTTTTCTTGAATAGTTTCTTCAAAATTATAAGGCTGTTCCAATGCTGGTAAATGAAATGGAGAAGGTTGATCTCCTATTGTCGATTTATCAACACATGCTTTTATGGTGTTGAGAAGTTTAGCCATATCATCACTTATAGTAATTTTATCAAGATTAACCTATAAAAATATAAATAATAAAATATTTAATACCACAATAATTCATAAATTTAATATTGTACTTTAGAACTTTAGTTACACAACTATTAAAATTAAAAAGTAATAATAGTTTTTATTTTTTAGAAAACTATTTTAAATAACAGATACATACTTGTTCAACTTTTGATGAATTTGACCTAGATGAAGAATGTGTTGGTGACTGTTCTTTTTCTTCATTTTGAAAATTATTTAAAGCATTATTTAAGGGAGTAGAATTATCTGAAACATCACTTGAATATTGCTCCTCTTGACTATAACGATCGTCACTTATATCTGTTTCATTGTACTATAAATAATTGTCATCAAAACATTTTTTTATATTAATTAAATATTCATTATTTTTCAATATTAAACCAATTATTTGTACTGTTTAACTTTAAGAATCATTCATCTGAGAAATTTCACACATACAAGCAGTGTATTTATATTTAATAATCAAGTTTTATACTTACATATTTTTGATGGACTTGAATTCGTTTTAATAGCTCTTTCTGTTTTTTTGGTAACAATTGATCTTTTACATCATTTTGGAATTTTTCTTCATCAATAACAAGATCTAAAACAAATTTAAAAAACAAATCATATAACCACACAATTTTTTCTCCTATTTAATATTATAAGAACATAGGTACATGTTTAATTAAAAAATAAATATTAAATATAATGTGTACTAAGTAATAATTAATAATTTTATATTTTGACTTACCATTAAATTCGTCATCATCGCTTAGATCATCTAATAAAGGATGATCATTGGTCTGCATGGACAAGTCTTCTTTACGTTGACGGTTTTTTTCTATCCTTTTTTCTTCGTGCCTTTCTTCTCTTTGTTTCTTCCTAATTTCTTTTTCTTGTTTTTGTTTTTCTTTGCTATCTTTGTGTTTTTGATATTTCCTAGGTTTATATATTGAACGATTATTTTGAAGCATATTAGGTACTTGTTCAGTTTCATTAATTTCACTAAAATCACAAATTATATTTTTAAATTACAAATTGAGTAACTAAAAGAAAAACAATTTAATGCACACTTTGCAATATTTATTGGGTCTGATAATTTAGAAGGGATTTTATGAACTATCTCTTTTACTGAATAATTTAAAATTATGAAGGTTTGAACTGATTATTTTTTATGTGAAAAAAAATGATGTTAACTTCCTTGATTTTTTTTTTTATTAGATTAACTTAAAACGACAGGCCATTAACCTGTAAAGTTAGAAAAGTTGGTACAGTTGTATGTGGGGCAAGGTTTTAGCGTACTATGAACCCGGGTGGTCATCCATCCGGGAACTAGTGGCAGCGACCCTTACTTACTCTCAGTCATGTTGCGTGACTGATAGCAGCCAACGCACCGAGCCAACTACAAGATGATTGATTTGTATTATTATTAATAATTTATTAATATAGCTAGTATAATGAAGTAACAGAAGGTGAGAACTAAGTATATTTATCATAATAACCTTCTTATTATTGGTTGCACCAATGGTTAATAAAATATAACCAACACTTTCAAAAATGTTGAAATTTAAGTAATACTTACAAAGTGTCATCAACCATAGGCTCCTCTCGTGAAGGCGATGGCATTGGTGTACTACTGTTATTGTTGTTATTATTAGCCTCTAAAAGAAAAATATAATGGTTTTCATACATATTTAATAATCACATAAAAAATAATTGTATATTACCTTGGTCTTCATCTGAGTTTTTCTCAGTGCTTTTTAATTCAGGAGGTACAGGTATTTGCATTTCCAATAATGATGGAATTTTGCTCTTATCATTTTTGGATACAAAATTAGTTTCTGTAGAGGGTGGTGGTTTTGGTTCCTCTTCAAAATTGTTCTGAAAATTAAATGTAAATTTTATATTTATTTATGAAGAATAAAACATGAATAATTGTTGAGAGTATGTCAGCACACTATTTGTTTTGTATCTCTCCCCCGTGAGCAGCAACATACCAAATTAACATTCAGCAGAACCAACCCTGTGTTGTTATATTTCATATTAGAATGAATTCAAATATTTTCAAACTTCAGTTATAATATTCAGAACATAACATGTGTCGCTACGTTAGCTGTTTTATGATATTTTAATTTTTATGTTAGTTATGTGCATGGATATTATGAATATTATTTAAAAATGCTTATAATTTTTACAAAAATTAAAATATCATAAAACAGCTAACGTAGCGACACATACTATGTTCTGAATATTATAACTGAAGTTTGATAATAGGTGAATTCATTCTAATATTAAAAATAACAACACAGGGTAAGTAATTTTCTTAGCTTAAAGTTTGTTAGTAGATGAATTCACTCTAACATTAAAAGCGACAACACAAGTTTTGCTAAACATGAATTTGCTATGTTGTACGTGGCTCAGAGAGAAAATAAATTAATAAGTTGACATTTTCTTGTCAAATAAAATATAAATCTAAACATTTTTAAAATAAAAGTACCTTAAAATCTTCATTTTCAATTTCATACTCAGGTGGATCATATCGTAATTTTCCAAAAGACTAAAATACATACACATATTAATAAGTATTATTTTTATTGTGTAATTAATTAGGTAGTATACATTATAAAAAGAATGTAGCTGTTTGTTACATGTACCTTCAACAATTTTTTTTTTTGATCTTCATCAAGTTTGGCATGGCTAAATCGACAATTTACACCTGAATAACATTTCATACCAGTATGATAATATTTACAAGGAAACTCGCTATGCATAAATGTACACCGATCCTCTTTACTACAACAATCCATTAAATAAAACTTGCACAGTTCCATTTTGCGACCATTTGGTTGTTGGTGAGAATAAGTACAATTATTTTCCTGTAAAATAAAATATTAACAGTGAAATAAATAAATTAATTTTGAGTTATAATTCTAACAAATTTTACTTTAAGACATTTTCCTTGAAGAAAATATTGACAAACTTTTTCTTCATCTTCAGATCGTTTATTTTTCATGACTGAACCACCTATCATTCGTCGTTTCATAGGCATACCTCTATTGCGCCTATCCATATCGCTACCACCCCCACGTCTTCCTCTTCCTCTACGGCCAAAGTTATTCGAAGGGCGAAATTCATCTTCATTTTCTGTTAAAATATATTAATTTCAACAATGTTACAATTATATTCGGGCATAAACAATTTTATGATAAGTAACAGTTATACATACAAAACTTTACACACATAATACTAGCTTATAAAATTTAATCCTCAAGTTAACAATACAAAATGTGCTAGAAATACGTTTTTTAATAATTATTTTAAATCATTTGAAATATTAGATAAAACCAGTAAATTAACATTTTTACGAATTGCGGCTTTTTATATATTATTCAAGTATTTGTAAATGGTCAATAGTTTCATTTTCTTGTTAATATACTAAGATCTATATCGTAATTCAGTTGTTTGTTCATTTTTCAAGTTAACACTTTAATTGTTGAAACTTGCACAATTAAATTGAATAATTGATTTTAATATAAGAACCACTTAAAAATACAACATAATGAATGTTAAGAAAATTTATCTTTATTTTTATCAAAAATTATAAAAATAAAATAAATCAAAAAAAAAATAATTTTAGGATTCTAATAGTTAATACTTACAACTAAAATAACATATTATGTGAAATATTAGATTAAACTATAGTAATTTACCAAATTCTTGAGGAAATGACTCAAAGTTTGATACGTCAGGGCTGTTGGTTCCTCTAACATATGGCATTTCTTCATCATTACCAGCCTCAACAGGTTCCATCGGTGAATCATTATTTTTTCTTCTATTAAATAAGCCCTATGAGATCAATACAAATAATAATTTACAATTAACAAATAATATAACACAAATTTGATGCAGTCATTATTAACAGAATTGCTTACATTTTGATTATTTCTCAACATGGGTTGTTCTTTTTCATCGCTCTGATCAAATCTACGTCTTTTACGTCTAGGTCTATCATCGTCCATTTGGTAGCCAACATCTCGTTTTATTACGGCCCCTTTATTTCTTGGAAACCTATCCCTAGGTCTACTGTTATTAAATCCAGTAAAATTTTTATGTGAAGGAGTGTGTATAATTTGTTGATGAGACGACTGTTGAGATCTCTGTTCCTAATAACACATACAAAAATTATTATATTATTATGCACAATAAATAATAGTTTTTATTTTTTTATTTTAAAAGCTGCTAGTATACAACTAAGAAAAAATGATGTGTTTCTTATTGCTTTGTTATTTACCATTTCCCATGGAGGTTCAAAATCTTTTTCTTTCGCACCTTCTCCAAGAAGATTTTCTTTAGATACTTTAGGCTCTGTATTTTGTTCAGTTGGTTCAGGCATCTCAATATCATCTTCTTCATCAAAAATCTCTCCATCCTCAAGGTCTTCATCAACCTCATTTTCGCAACTATTACCATTACTAAAACAATTAAAAATATCTTAACTAAAATTACTATATATACAGTTTTCTATTAAATGCAACATTATATTTTATGTTCTATTTAATATTAGATGTAATCTAACAGTTTAAAACAGTATCAGGAACATATTGATCAAACACATTTATATTAGGTACAAATGCAACTAAAGACATACAATATAAATGTACTTAAATACAAAAAAAAAATATGGCTTTTATTTATTTAATGTTAATTGATAATTTATTAATTATTGATAATTAAAAATATGTTACTAGAATTATAAATTTAAATTGGTTTATTTTACATAAGATTAATTATTAATATATATAGATAGATTCCAAGACAATTATCTTCTTTGAAACTATACTCCAATATTTTCTAAGAATTAAATGATAGTTGTTCATTTTCACCAAAGTATCTACTAGGAATACTATTTAGGTAATTAAGTCCGTTAAGTAGAATCTAAATTGTTAGTTACTTTGTTGGTAAACATATTATAATAAACACATTGATAGGTAAATGAGATAAATTAATAGATTTTTAGCTTAAAGTCAATATTTTTAATACCCTACAAATATACTTTCGAAAATTAGTTGAAGGAGTTATATTCAATGTTAGTTTCGTTTTACTATTTAAAGCACTATTATATTCAAGTTCCTACCCAATATTTAATTATTTCAATTCTGTTGGTATTTGTTGTCATATTTATTAAAAAAAATACTATTACAATTTATTTAAAATCATAAATAAAAATAATACGAATTACAATATTTTAATAACGTAATGTTACTGTTACTAAAATGTCAATAAAAAGAAATTAGATAAAATTAATTTTATCCAATAAGCAGGTAGCAAATTTAAGTATAGTCATACTGAAGAATGAATATTCGTAAAAATTAAATATTGTTATAATACAGACTAAGATAATTATATATTTTTTTTACGGATGTAAATCTATAAAATAAACAATGATATATTATAATCGATATTTGAATTATCTATAGAACATAACGCATAACGAAATAGAAAATATATTTATATCGAATATCGAATAGTACTTGATGGATTGGCATTATACAATTATGGTTACAATTACATTTTCGCATATTTCAAATACGTACACCCATACAAAATAAAAACAATAATCTATAGATTAAAATCCATAATTACACTAATCGGTTGGAATACAATCAAATACTAGCGTGAAATAACATTTGAAATAATTGGGCAAGCAATTATCTTATGTATTCTTACTCATTCAAAACTTTTTCCATTTTAAGATTCTGCCGATTAATGATTTGTAGTTAAAATATTTTAAATTTTTTTTAAATAAATAATTTTAATAAATATACTGCATTTTGGTCGATGTTTTTAACCTTTTAAGTTTTAACACTAATGTTATGACAATATAATATACAATTCAGAATTCTGCATAGCCAATATATTTTATATGGTATAGGTACAAAACTATTGAAATTTAAATAGACATTGGAAAATCGGTGAGAATTACGGCGGCATACATTCAATTTTTCATTTGTATTGAAGAAAAATAATTATATACCTAGATGAATAAATGAGATAAATCTATACAAGATAAAAAAAAAAACGATTTGCGTATTTTTAATATACCTACCAAATAAAAAATTCATAATAATATAACTTTTAATAGGTACCACCTACCAATGTGGAACATTTTTATGAATCATCGTACGTGTTAATAAATAATAAGCAATAACTAAATAACCCTAAGACTTTGGTTTAAAGCAAATACAATAATCGGCAGATAAAAACATATAATTATTATGTTTTATTTTTTACAAAAATTTTAACAATATTAAATATTAATGCGCAATGTTAGCGAAACCATAGACCAGTTTTGATCAATTAGGATACCTACTGCATAATACTGAAAATCACGATTTAATGACCGACGCAGGTCCAACAAAATGGCAACAACGCAATATATTATGTGCACTGAATAATCCATTAAATCGACTTCTGAAACTCTTACATTTTAATGCAAAACGCATTATACAAAATGCACAATGCACTTTACACTTTGACCAAACTTGATATATTGTTTACGTAGGCAGTTTTGCAATTAAAAAGCGTACGCAGAGAATTTTAAGAAATGGAAGTACAGCTATACAGTTCTAGTTTCGTATTAACGACTCCAATGAATACGATTCCGATGAAATAGAAATCAGAATTTACCAAAAGTTGTCTGTATGATACGGAAAAAACGTCAAGACAGATTAGTATAATATACAGATTAGAGAATAAAAATATAACACTACTGCATTGAAATACTATTTAAGATACAATTTCCGAGAATTTAATGAGTGAACTACCACCTACTACAAATAAAATACTAATATAAATAAAAGCGTTCAAATAAAAAAAATATATAAGATAATATTATTATACTTTCAAAACGTAGGCAACAGATCATCTGATCAAATGTAGGACACGGTGAGTCATTACTATACCTTAATCACATGCATCGATTTCCTATTAATAAAAAACAAACGTAATAATATTATATCGACAATAATCAATTACGGATTGGTCAAAATAGACAATAAAAAAAAAAAAAAAACAAAATATCAAATACTAAAGTTCGGCCGAAAGCAATATATTAAATAATCCGGTAATCCCGAATATTGAGTATATTATAGTTACCTATATTATTTATTCTACTTAAGTTATATCGATTTATTAATATTGTATTATTATTATTATAATAAATTATGATGATTATATATTACTATACTGATACCTTAGAACAATTTGTTGGTCTAGTACCATGGTGTGTATATCTAATAATTAAATATGATGTGATTCAATTATTATATATTATTGTAATGGGATCTCGGTGCAATGCATTATTACGATATACAAAGTCAAAGCCGTCATCATTGTTATTCAACAATAACAACAATAACAATAAAATAGCACCGACGAATTTGCTGCGATTGGTGGTGGTGGTTTGTCGGTAACAAAATTAACGAAAAAAATCTCGATGTATATTGTGTTACAATCAAATAGACTTATATTATATTACGTATAATCACAATATTATTATGAGCGTATACGGACATAATGCATAATTGTGTTATGGTAAAAATGAAGTAATTATTGGGAAAGAGTAAGCGAAATGAATATCACGCGATGCTGATTGTCGTGGACGCGGCTCGGGCAGTACAGTACGCGGCCCGACGATATCGGTGCCGGTGCGTAATAGATCTTCGCGCGAACGGGGATCGACCGGATCGGGGCTGGGGGGCCCCCAGTCGGCGCGGCGGCGGCTGCGAGCCGGAGACTTCGAATTATTATTATTATTATTTTTACCACTGTCGCCGCGTTTCAAGGTAGGGGCGTCGCGCCGGCGGCGTAGGAGCAGCTGCTGTCTGTCGTGACTCGCGATTTGACCGGCAAAGAAAGAGGGTACCTCCATGTTATATACAATATACATATATATATATATTATTGTATACTACCTACTCTACGGCTACGGCGTGGTTGCGCGAGCGCGACAGAGACGGAAAATCAGACGATCGTCATTACAATAATAATAATAATAATATTAGTATAAACAATGAAGTAGCGTAGAAGTAGTTGTAGTAGAAGTAGTAATAGAATATTATTAGAAAGGTATGAGAAGAACTCGCCCCGGTCGTAAATGGAAACAAAGCGGAAGAGAGGAGAAACCACGGGCCGAGACCGAGTGAATGGTTTAGTTTTTTTTTCGGTGGGAAGGAGGGGCGCGGTTAGGCAAGTTGCACAACACTGACGAACACGGATATTGTATACACATGTATATACATATATATAAAAACATACATATGATATACGTATATACCGCTAACTCGTACCGAGAAATAAAAAACAAGATGGCGGCGTCCAATCGATGCGCATACCGACGGACGCAGAAGCCAGAAACTACAGAAATGTATATCGGTTTTGATTATTTACCTTCGGCCGTTTTTAAAAAGCTTGGAATCGGTTTTTGTTTTTCGTCGCAAAACCAATGTGACAGATCCTTGTCGAAAATATAAAAAAACTTACACGTTTTTACTTCATCATATTATCCAAAACCCAAAAACACATATGTACTTTTTGTTCCTGATACTGCAGATAAGTAGTTTATAGGTACCGTATAGTTCCGATAACCGAGAATACGAAGCTCATTATAAATAAATTATTATAAGTATAAATAATATATATATATATATGTAAAAAAAAAATCGTTTCCCCTGATTAAAGGGCGCATTTTATTGACTTTTTTTTCATTGATTACTGCACCTTTCATCGAGTAAATTTGGCCCGTCAATATTGGTGACAAGGGCCATTTTATTGGAGGCTGTTTCGTCGCTTTCTTTGAGGACAGATTACCGAATGTACGTCATTCATTCGGTTCGACAAAAAAAAATCTCTTCAAACGTAATTACGAAAATTTAACACTTTGTACACTAAAGTTAAATAATTTATATTTATATTTATGATTTTGGACTTATGGATACTTAGATGATTATTTATTATAATGTTTTAATATAATATCGTTTCTACTACTTATTATTTAGTACTGTTTACTATTTAAATGCAGGCATCTTGAACATTCGACAATACAATCGATGCACAAACATTGGGCTGAGTTCCGACTTTTACGCGGCTTCACTTAAAATGTCGGTCGGTGTTCGGTCGGTCCGTCCTTGGTAGCCGCGGAATGCTGCGTTCACCACCGCGCGCGCACACAACGCCAGCGGACGACGGCGGCGGCGGCGGCGTCGTTCGCGTCTAGAAGAGCGGGGTGGGCGGTACAGCAAAGAGAACGGCCCGACGGGTCACCTCTCCACCCCGCAGCACCATTAACTTACGGCGGGAACGATTGTGTAGCGGACTCCACAGCGACGTTGCCAATTTTGCGGGTCACGCGTCGGAACTGCTTTGCGTTGACCTGTCTGCTAGATGGCGCTATGCACAGTCGCGCAGACCCTTAGATCATTTAGTTATATACCCTGTTCAAAATAAGAAGCGACCTGATTTACGCTTGAAAACCGGTTTTACTAGTGGCCGCCGAATCGCTTCTTAAAATGAACAGACTATAGTATATTATGATCTAAACGCAGACCTATAGGAATGCCGAATGGAATATTATGTCTTCACTCTTCCGGACGCTATGGCAGTATGGCCCATGACCCGCGACCGAAAGCCGAAATGTTGGTAGAAAAAATCGAATCAAAACTACCCACTACTAAAAAATTGGTATTATTTATTACCTAGTGCAGACCCGTTGTAATTTGGAAATCTCCGTCTGGTTAATCGTTTTTCAATTATGCTTGGCAAAATAAATATTTCAGATTTAAGATAACATCTGGGGTCGAAGACCGATGAATGGTATCCTATATGCTCAAATCTCTTTATGATGATCAAATTATGACATAATTGAGATTACCCCCGATCCTACCCCTCTCCTCGTTCTATTAACATCACGATTGCACGATACTTATTACCAGTGGCGTGTATCATAAAACAAATTGGTATTGCTCAAATAATTTTAGGGGACCTACCCCTCATAATACTGACCTATAAAATGACCTATTTTTTCATCTATCAATACCCACCCATCCATATTTAAGGTGTTGCCCGAGCAACACTTGGACCCTATGTTACACGACGATGCTTTTTAATTATTATAGTTCTTAATTCTCAAAATTATAACTTTCTAGGATACGATAAACTGCATATCTTGATTAAATATTAATCGTTTATCTCCAAATCGAAATAACAATAATAAGTGATAAAAGATAAAATGTTTGACCTTTACTCCCCACTCCAAGACGACACGTGTTTACTATAATAGACTAATATAACAGGTGTGCGGGTAACATAGACCATAGAACAAGTGTATATTATGTAAATATAAGTCACGCACTCTCGCGTGATGCATTAAGATTACAAAAGAACTTTTATTATCTATGCATTGAATGACGTCTATAACGACTTCGACACTTCGTTATCATGTCTGCTTTTCCGAGTTCCGTCTATACTAATTTAATATAATCTGTGGTATAATAGTATTAGTATCATATGACGTATTATACTAGTATGCTACCTATTATCCAATAAACACAAAACAGTACGTGAGTAATGAGTATTCACTTTTCAGTAGGTACGGTCGAGGTACCTACCGACTACCAAATATATAATAGTAAGCTCATGAGTCATGATTACATTAAACGATTAAACATCGACTCGAGCAGTCGAGCTTACTGAGCCAATAATAATAATGGTCCATCGCTCATTGAAGGGGCGTATACTAGGGGTCATATCCCCGTAGGCCTTATTTTAAATACTGTTCTTAGTATTATCGCGTTTCAAGGAAACAAAAATATTAATAAATGAATTGTGTGCTATAATTGTTTAATTAAGGGTCGTCACTTCAACTTTTTGAAAGGTAGGTATATGCTAACAACTAGGTAAATGAAAAACAATTAATTTGTACCTATAATTAATATTATATACCTACTATTATTTATTACTTATATTCTGTTATTTATTATTTTGATGTGCATGTACCTGGTTTAATTTTTTTTTACTGATCCCCATACAAAAAATAAGTATACTGCACCAATGATCCATTGCCCAGATTACCAGTTTTATTGCATTTCGGTAATTATATAGACTCTATATTGCGGGTTGCCGACCCCTGATATAGAACAAATAGAGCAATGCTTCTCTAACTGGGGGCCTTAGTTATATTGTTGGGGAGTCGTGAAATATTTAAGTTATTCAATCTATTTTTTTTACCTAAGCTTTGTTTTTAAAAAAAAAAAAACCATAATTATTTTCGACTTAAAATTAAGTGAAGTTGGTTATTTAGTTATTAAATAACCGAAAATATCATTAATCATTGTCAATAATTTATCTGTTTGAAAAAGTAAATTTAATTTTAGTATATAATTAAGAAAAAATAATTAAAGATTTTGATTAAGGGGGCCTTAATAATGTTACATTAAATTTAGGGGGCCCCATGACAAAAGAGTTTGAGAAGCACTGATATAGAGGATAATATTATTAAAGGTTATTTGACACATCAGTTTTATATTTTATTATTATATTACTGTAAGACTTTAAAAAAAAAATAAATTATAAATTTAAATGGTTATTAATTTTTTTTGAGACAATATTTACTATTTAGGCGAACTGATACATTATAAGTACCCTTAAAAATATTATTCTTTATAATTTTTTTAATGTTTGATTTTACTTTTAAGATAACTCAAAAACATGAAAAAAATGGTTTTTTGTGAATGCGTTTTTTCAATGTTGCGAAAGTAGAAAACAAACGCAGTGAGCTGAGATCCTCTTATATAGGAGGACGCCTAAATACGCAACATCCGCATGTGTTGTGTAATCGTTTCAATTTAACAAATTAAGATGTAAAAAATTTGTGTAGTTATTTGTGTAGTTTTAATATACTAGTGTAAATTGATCTATTCTTCAATTCTTTATCTTTGTCTTTGTAGTTTTCGCTTGTCGGTCTTCAAGACCAATGACCATCCTGACAAACATATAGATATACAATGCCAATATGCCATATTTTCCTATCTACAGGTAAGATTCACCAATTGATGTCTGGTGTTCTACCCACTCCACGTCTTTGTAACTAGATCTTCCCACATTAACCTTGTTCATCATATTGGCCTTTACCTTTTGGAGTAACTAACCACAGATAATATATAATTATACATAGTTATATATCTGTGTACCTACCGGCTGGCGGCTTCCACAATATATTATACCATGTGTATGAGCCGCGTGCAGGCCAGTCAAAATAAGCCGGCCTTTTCTTATTAAATTGTCCATCAACAAACTTTTTTCATGATATTAAAAATTTTTAAGCGATCTATTCTGTTCAAATTTAGTCTACAGCAGGTATAGTGTATTAGTGTATATGATAATGACACTGCTATTATAGATAGGTAAGTAATTAGAAAATTAATACATAACGATATTTTATTATTTGTTCAGTTGTGTCATCACTCATCTTTAATCAAAACAATTTGAGAAATCAATGAAATAGTATTATATTTTAATAGGATTAATCTGGTTTCACTCGTTTCAGAATTAAACCAGCTTCATCTGGTACAAAATAATATCTTTGCACCTTTTATATGATTACATATTTACATAGCAGCATAGCATCATGTGCATCCCCGTAATTACCTCAATATAGCTATTAAAATACAAAATTAAACTACTGAATACAAATTTTTATAATATAGCTGATGTCCTAATGATATGGTTGTAAGACAAAGACTACAGATGTGGGTGTAGTGTCCTCTTAATCTACTAGTTAGGTGTCTTATAGACTATAGTATCTAAATAATTTTCTTAATGTTACCTAATAAGTACCTATATAACCAATATCGAATATTTTTATTCAAAGTATTAATGAAGTATTTAAATTTTTTAAAACATTTTTTTGGTTTTGAATACGATACTGATTAAATTAAATTGTTGTTATCCTGTACAAGTTAAATATACATTAGTCATTATTCATTGGGTACTCATTATGATGACTTGGCACTTAAATTATAAATCAATGTGGGCAGTGGGCACATGGTTCGAAGCTATATGACCAGGTAACATGAATATTTTCAACACATCATGTTAATAAAATGCAGTGAATAATGATTTAACTTATACATAACTCAGTTACAGAACTATGTTGTTATATTTGAGATATATTGTCTAAAAGTTATACAATTATAATATGTTATCTTTCAAATAGTTTTTTAAGTGAAACTTTTTTTTTTTACAATAATTTGTGTTTTACATTAAAACTTTGAAGAAACACTTGATGTTATAAATAATAATTAGGTAGGTAAATTAGTTTTTATAAATTAAATGTCAATAGTAGACAGTAGTTATTGTTGGAGAAAAAAAACAGCGAGACTGGCTAAAGGTTATTGAAACCCGTAGGATATAGGCAGAAATTGTGAGTTCGAGGCCGGGGGCTGTAGACCAATGCTATTCGTATTTTATGCATCAATTCTTTTCTATGATTATTGATTACTGATTAGGTATGTAGTGATAGTTGTAGTATTATACAACAAATTAGATGAATAAAAACATGGCTGAGAACATCAATGGTTTAATATTGTTTCAACTGTCTATCTATATCCTTACAATATTGAAAAGCAGTTGTCAAAAAGAAAATAAGAGCACGTTATTTAAAAATTTGCTAAAAAAAATATATCAATAATAATCTAACAAAAAATTTTAATTTTAATACTTGCATGGTAAACATATAACATGTATAAATACGACATAATCTTTATTTAAT